ACATTTCATATAAACGTCATGCACACGCAAACACAACAAGAGCTATGACATAACTGCAGCTCGTCATTAGGAAAGGGGTGGGGGGGTTATCCCAAGCCCAGCTGCAAGCAATGATGCAATTCTCGCTCGCCGTTTTCATCGGCTGACCATGACTTTGCTGCTGGTGGGTTTGAATGGGGTCCGAGGTGGAATGCACACCCCACTGAAGTGTAAGAATGGCTGGCACATCTTAAAGATGGCAAAGCAATGGTCAGTGGGCAGATCAGCTCCATGGTAGGTCCTGGTATCAAGGACATCGGCCCACATTTGCTGTTCCATCACTATGTAGTCCAGCAGATGTTCTTGCTTGGATCCGGCGTGCATCCATTTTGTTGTGTGGATGCGCCTATGCCAGAACAGCATGTTGGTGATTATACGGCCATTGGCTGCATAGAATTCTGCCCCATCCATGCCTTCCAATCACTTCGGTTCAGGTGTCTGTGTCATGGCCCCCCTTGGACGTTAAATTCACCCAGCAGGATGACTCTACCCCGAGGGGCCTCATCAACCGCCAACAGGGACCGGTGATAGAAGACATCTGACTCAAGACACAAATCACGCATCATACTCACACACATAACACTCAAACACAACATACATCACACACACATTACACGCATCACCCACACATCTCGCACATCACGTGCACATTACACACATCACACACTGGTCTGGATATTGGTTCCAGGAATTGAGGTCGCGGAATTTACAGTTCTCGCTGTCATTAAAATATTACACCCTGAACGAAAATACATCTCACAGACACGAACACGTCCTGATAGAATATGCACGTGTTCGGGCTAGTGTCACAGTTAACACGAAAGCTGGGCTCAAGAGTAGGGCTAGGCTGATAGCTAGGGCTGGTTCTGGGCAAACCAGCCCATATAATGAAAGGGGATGATGTCTTCAAATAGACCGATGTCATACACAATCCTGTCCGTTAAATGTCAAGACACCGTTTCAATTGCTTCTCCTGTACATTGCCAACACTTTCCCCTCCTCACCATCGTCATCGTCATCACTCCCAACGCCCATTGCGCATGGCAACCGACACAGGGTCGTGACAACGGGGATGTTTTGTCCTCAAAATTCACGTAAAAACCCGAGGAAGCAGCTCGACCAATTCCACCACTACCACGCACCGACACCGAGAGGCACAGGGACACGGCGAGACTCGGCACAGCGCTGGAACACAACCCCCAACAAAAACATTTGAGAAACCTTACGCACTCTGAAAAATAAGACACGGCGGCCGGCACAGGGGTTCAATGCGCCGAGTCAGTCGTTTCGGAACCGGACTCCTGCTCGTCAAAATGCTGGCGCCCGTTTCCGTTCCGTTCCGGGAGTGCACGCGCATGTGCGTGCGCCGCCTTTGGGTTTCATCCGCCCTTGGCTCAGGATTGCTTGTCGGCGTCCATAAACGCACGAGCTGTTTGTTGCGTGTTTGTTTTTGCGTATTGTTTGAAGAGCACACGTTTTTTTTTCCCGAGTCACTTCATATTTTTGTTCCAGTGCCATGTATCCGCGAGCCGTGTGTTCCCACGAAAGGCAACAATGCGGTTGAAGGTGAGGCCGACGGCCAACCGGCTGGCACGGGGTGGCACGAGAGGTCTGTGGAATCCGGCGCGAGCACCGAGTGGTTAAACGAAGACAACACGGCTTGGAAACAAACACAGCTCTCATCTTGAAGGTACTGCGTGTCCGCCCTGGGCTGTACCGCACGTGTTTGAAGCTTCGTTCGGGAGGGAAAAAAATACTTGAAATTTACGGTCAGGAGCGCCAAAACGACAGTGGCATGTTGACACTGAAACAAGGTCAAAGTACACGTAGAGCCCTTGTGAATCCACTGCTGGATAGGGGCCTCCCCATGCCCTGCGGGTTTCTTGACCAAAGTTCACCGTGCTGGTCAGTGCGGGTGGGTGCAGGCGGGGGAGCATTGACAAGTTAATGACAGAGGAGTCAAGTACAACAATGCATTTTTCTACACACTGCTGCCCTCTGATGCCCGTCACCAAGTGACCAGCACTGAGGAACAACTTCCACGCTTTGTCGTAAAATTTCACAAGTGACATCGTGAAAGCACTCCTGTGGGCAATTTAAACATCTTCCTATTTCACAGGGCCCGGAACGCAAAGCCCAAGCACGTACAGTTCTGATGGGAGTTTGCTGTTTGTGTTCGGTTCACGCAGTCATCGAGAGAGAGATCGCGAGCGGGCGATAATACGTCACATTCAAAGGGTTTTTCAGAGTTCAGCAGAAATGCCCCAAGTCTCAAGGTCACGCTGAGGTCAGGCCGAGGTCACCACGGATCTTATTCCCCCGAGACACTCCGGAAACTCATCACAATGGGTGCCCAGCAGACATAGCTCGAATGTTCCAAGTTAATAATAATTATAGCGATCGACAGATATTGCTGAATGGAGAACTTCAGAGTCTTAACGTCTTGCCGCGCAGCACTCTTTGTAGGAAGTTCAAAATGTGCTTAATGTCCAGCTGTTTGTCGATCCACTGCTCACGTGGTATCAGCCACTGGGGGTTGCTTGGACATATCTCACCATGCTGTTAGGGTGGGATGAGAAAAAGGTGGGAACCCAAGGACCGGTTCAGATATCGTGGGCAGGAATCGAACTCCGGTAGCCAGATAACCATGCTGCCGACCGTTTTACTGCTCTATCGGAGATGAAGAGGCATAACGAATGGACTTCAAAAGCCGTAATGAAACGTCGTGTTATGGGGATATTATTTGACAGCGTGGTGCACCGCTCTCTACGAAAGTACAGAATGAAAATTCCTGCATCTCATCTCAGGATGCTGAAAGCAACATTTGAACACAAATGTAAAAAAAAGACTACTTTGAGAGTCCTGCTGCTAAATATGGAAATATTTCTTTGCCGAGTACCAATACAAATTTACGCAACACAATCTGGAACATTACAAGAGGACGTTACCCCCATTCTACAAAAAACTTCACAGGCTTACCGGTTTTTATTATTATTTTCATCTGACAGATTGTGGTGGCTTGTTGGTGCTGTCACCCACAAGTCTTAAAGTTGTTAGTTAAATGACCTGTCAGTTGTCAAACTCGGCCCATCATCTCTGGGGGATGGTAAATTGAGTACCATTTTATTGTAAGTCAACAATGGTTGACTACGGGGCGACTGGTTCCCTCTATAGGAATGTGGATTTTTTTTCAACACTAATTTTAAGACTACCAATGGACTTGAGCAACTAAAAAATAATGATTGCTCATCCATTCCAGATTCTTCACTTAAAACTACGCGAGAGTTCGCTACGACTAAAAGCCTCTTTTTCAACGGACAGATAGGCGCAGCCCTGCAATGACTTGTCCATGCCACTGCAGGCAGAAGGGCCTCCACTCCAAGGGAGTTATTTGGCCCTAACTCTTGCACGCTGGCCAGACGTTTTGGAATATATGCGCATACCAAAACCTCACCCCACCACACGTGACCTGCCAATCGACCGACTGTGGTGAAAATTATTGATACTGCTGGGTGGACAGAGGGAGTCGTGGGGAGGGATATGAGAAACTTGGCCCATTAATTTCACTGCCAAGCCGGGGAGACAGAACTCAACCGGGTGACCTCTGGATTGCGAGTGCAGTGTGTGAACTATCGTAACGCGGAATTTTCTAACATCTGAGCGCCGGCTACCATTTATACCGCACGGCGCTTGAGTGTGGTGGACTCGCTGTGCTGCGGTGACACTGTTTGCGTGCGCAGCGCTCAATGGAAAAAGAGACTTCCACTCTCGGCGACCTCTCACCTTTATCTGTTTGTGCCTCTATAGGGACGCACTGTGACTTTGATTTTTTAGCGGCCTTACCCGTGATGACCTCTTGACCCCGACGCACATGAACGCATGTAAACAGACGCGTACGCTCAGACACGCACGCAGATCCACGCGCAAACACGCATACGCGTGCGCGCATTTGTGAGTGCCCTCGCACACACACATCGCACGCACACACGTACGCATGCGTGCGTGGTTGGCTAACGAGGTGACTGACCGCTGGCTGTGACCCCGAGCAAACACAGGAACCCCGCCTGGGGCGAAGTCCGCGGGGGAGGCGTAGACGGGCGTTCCGACGCAATGTCCGGCTGAGGTATTCACTCTGTGTGTGTGCGAACGCGCAACAAGCGGGCACACAAGCACCCGCGTGCTGAACACAAGAACGCACGCTAACACACACTATCACAGACTAACACGCGCGCGCACCCATGATCGCGCGCGCACGCACGCTATGGGTTGGGACACCGTTGTATATGTAACAACACCCACAACATGCTGCCACTCCCGCCAGACACGCGCGGCTGCCAGACTTCACTCATGAACCGTTTTAGGCAACACGTGGGCACTTGTTGGCCAGTTGCCAATTATCATTGGAGGCAAGAGGATTTAGGACTGGCAACTGAGGTAGGGCTACCATACAAAAAATCCCACACCTGTCCTCGTGTCTGGGAAAAGGCAGTTACCGTTAGGGTTTAGAGTCGGCGACGTGAGCAGCAAAAAATATCGGTGAATTTCCGAGCGCTGGCGAAAGCATCGACAAGCTTCTTTCGCTACGGCGAGATGACGGCGGACGTTCACGGCACGGCGAGTGAAGTGGCGTGACGCAAACACGAAACCACACGTTCCTCTCCGAGCCAAGGCCAGCATCGCAGTCGGGGGGGGCAAGCCCTAACTCTCCACCCTCCCTCGGCACATGCGACCCCCAACCTGGCCGCTCGTGGCCCCTTGGATGTTGTGTCTCCCCCCCGCACCCTCCAGAGGCCTAAGGGACGAGAGTCCAGGAGGCGTGACGGACAGAGACCTTGATTCAGCGAGTCGCTCCCATCTTCTCGCGCACGGTTCCGGCGGCCGCAACCACGGCGGGGAAAAAGGTTCTCGCTCGGCAGTAGAAAAAACCGATAGTGTGGAGATGGAATCACCGCTTGACATCATCGCTTCATCAATTTTAATAAAATTCACTCAGTCGCTCGTGTGATGAAAGAGTTTGTTGCCGTCCGGCTCAGCGTAGCAGGACAGGGTTATGGGAGGCCAGTGTCCAGGACGTCGCCAACCCAGAGGAAAAATCAGTAACCCCTGCCACACCACACCCAGTGGAACTCTCCATATGCATGTGGCTACGAGTCACGTGCCAACTACTCCATTAATTCTACCAGAAACACTGGAAAATATTCAGTTGAGAAATTAACTCCCGGGCGGTATCCGCTCACACGCGGTGGCGTCGCACGTCACAGCGGGGTTTTCTCGACGCGTTCCGGGGTGATCCCACCGATGGATACACGCGTGGCGGCGCTCGCGGCGAGACGCTTTGCCCGATACGAAGAAGGGTTTGCTCCATCATCCGTGTGCCACCTTTTGGCCTTGCGAGGCAGCGTGCGCAACGTGCAGAGGTGGGCACGTGCCCCACACACGCGTAGGCCATATATATAAACACGCACAAGCGTACAAATCGCTTTGTACTTATACAAACAACAAGTGCTATCGGGCCTGGGTTCATCATTATTCACATATCTGCATCTCCAGCTCTTTAAAGAAGAAATCCGAAGGTAGTCCTCCTCCTTGCAGCGTCCACCCTCCGATGCGCTCCACCTGGTTCCCTCTTCCCTCAGGGGGTCCAACCCTTTCCCACCCCAATCTCAGTTGTCATCACCGCCGCCACACACGTGCTTCAGTGCCAAGTCTGTACAGCACCGTCAGACACTTTAAATCCTTATGTCAGCGTAGCCGAGTGGAGAGCCAGACCCGGTTGAATTCAGCGTCACTTGGTAAGGGGCCAGTAGCCTTCGGAGAAAACCAGGGGTGAGGGGTGTTGGGGGTCGTGCATCAGGGACTGGGAGGGCAGCACCCTTTGGGAGGCAAGGCACCCTTTTGGGGGGTGAGGGCCCGTGAAGAGGTGGGGTGTGGCACCCGCGGGAGGGGAGGGCAGAACCTGCAGAGGGGGGCGCGGCAGTCAGCTGACGGAGCGCACGGAGCGGCTAGAGCGTGGGAAGCGGTGCACCTTGACATGCTTGGACAGGTGGTCGCTGCGCGCGAACTTCTTTCCGCACACGGGGCAGGCGTACGGCTTCACGCCCGAGTGCGAGCGGCGGTGGCGCGACAGCTCGTCCGAGCGCGAGAACCTGGGTGCGCGGACAGACGCACGCGCATGCAGATGCGCGCACATTTAAGCACATACACAGACGAGAGCACGCAGACGCGCACACAGACGGGCGCGCATACTTGCGACTGTCTCGCTGCAATGACTTATAACCTGCGCCTATCGCCACATCACCATGAATCTGCCCGATCTCGTCGGATATCAGATCTCAGAAGCTAAACAGCATTGAGGCTGGATATTGTTCGGATGGGCGACCACTGTGCACACGTCTCTCTCGGCCTGCCGCAGGGCCTACGTCGTCGGCAGCGGACGGCGATGCGGCCAAATCCGCCGTGGTATTTGTACTCCTCACGTCTCCTCACTTTCACCAACCCTCACGGACTGACCATGACAATGGATACAGGACACGCCATGATTGATGGATAGTGGATGTATATACAGAACGTTTGTGGGATGAGGCACGGGTTAACAGACCCTACAGGATACCTGTGCACACAGGATACAAGTTATTCAGGTCGAGCGGCTGATGCGACGTCAAATATTATTTTATCGCAGGATTTGCCTATTGTCCACAGATTTGCCCCGGTTTACGGTTTAAAGGTGGACGATGACCATATCACCCGGAATGCGCCAAATTTCGGAAGCTATTCAGAATTGAGTTCGGTTAGTCCATGCATGGACGACCAACATGCCGTAACAGCAAGCAGCCACGGGCGTCGGTGCGGGCCATGCAGCACCGAGGGGGGCAACAGGCCCGGTTGTGAGTTGATGGCCTCAGCATGGTCACCAGTGACTCACACGAAGACCTATAGACTCACAGAGTCTCAGACTGACATAGAGGCCCATAGACTAAGACAGTCTCATTGATTCACACAGAGACCTATAGATTCACACAAGAGACCTATAGATTCACACAGAGACCTATAGATTCACACAGAGACCTATAGATTCACACAGAGACCTATAGATTCACACAGAGACCTATAGATCCACACAGAGACCTATAGATCCACACAGAGACCTATAGATTCACACAGAGACCTATAGATTCACACAGAGACCCATAGATTCACACAGAGACCCATAGATTCACACAGAGACCCATAGATTCACACAGAGACCCATAGATTCACACAGAGACCTATAGATTCACACAGAGACCTATAGATTCACACAGAGACCTATAGATTCACGCAGAGACCCATAGATTCACGCAGAGACCCATAGATTCACACAGAGACCTATAGATTCACACAGAGACCTATAGATTCACACAGAGACCTATAGATTCACACAGAGACCTATAGATTCACACAGAGACCTATAGATTCACAGAGACCTATAGATTCACACAGAGACCTATAGATTCACACAAGAGACCTATAGATTCACACAGAGACCTACAGATTCACACAGAGATCTACAGATTCACGCAGAGACCTATAGATTCACACAGAGACCTACAGATTCACACAGAGATCTACAGATTCACACGGAGACCTATAGATTCACACAGAGACCTATAGATTCACACAGAGACCTATAGATTCACACAGAGACCTATAGATTCACACAGAGACCTATAGATTCACACAGAGACCTATAGATTCACACAGAGACCTATAGATTCACACAGAGACCTATAGATTCACACAGAGACCTATAGAGGCACACACTCCCATAGACTCACAAAGACCGAGTTGTGATGAAACCGGGTTCTCTGGTGTTATAAGTTGATGGTTTCAGCATTGTCACCAATCACGTAAATAGAAGCAGCATATACAAATTGGGGGTTTTCAAAAAATTATCCCCCCACGCTGATAAAACCCCTTCAGAGCCAATGAAGCAATGAAAGCCATGGCCTGTCCGCATACACACACAGGGGCAGCTGCAAGAGGATAAGAGTAGAATGCATGATAGACAAAAGCAGATCATATCGTTAACCCCGTTAAGCAAATAACTTGTGTTTAAAGTCTGTTAAATATTGTGTCGTGCTCCCCCAGAATTACTCCCCCCCTCGCTGTAAAAAAATTCACCCTACAGGCATGTAGTTGGAAAATGGTTTTGGGGGTCGAGATGTGTTTGGGTATGGGTATTGTATGGTTCTTGTTATAATGATGCTGGGCCACCCAGGAAAGGCTGGCTTATCCGAGTCTCAAGACTCTGTTTCAGGTGGGTCCGACTAAGTTTTCGCAGTAGCAGGGGGAGCCATGTTGCTGTTGCCGTGCGTCATCCAAATTGAGTAATTTGCAAGTAAGATTTCGTGCTGCCCAATTCCAGTTACGATTTGTGTTTTTTTTTAATAGCTAAAGCAGCAGGAAACTTGAGGAAACCCACACAGAACAGGGGGAGAGAACATACAAAATCCACGCAGCCAGGCACCCAAGTCTGGAATCGAACCCAGGCCCTACTTGTTACGAGGCACAAAGTCCTATCACTGCGCCTTCCTGCCTTCCGGTTATAATTTACGATTATGCTTAGGTTATTATTTGCGTTGGGGTTTGGGCTATGGTTTTGCTGTTGGAGCCGTCACGTGGCCTTTTGCAGCCTGAGCAGCCACGTGTAGGCGACGGAAACCGTCGCGTTACGGGCGGGTGGGCGGCACGGGGCAGGAGAGGGGGGCAGGAGAGGCGAGAGACATGGCGTGGGGCGAAGGCGTGGGGCGGAGGGGAGAGCGGAAGGAAGAGAGGGTAGGGGAGTGGAAAGTGAGAGAGGAGAGAGATTGTTGTGGTGTCACGTGTACCGCCATCTGCGCGGGACGCGTCGCCATGCCTCGGGGCCGCGAGAAAGGGAGAAGCGGAGATGACACGAACATGGGCGAGCTGGGTCTGAGGGGACGGGAGAGCTGGGGCTGAAGGGATTGGAGAGCTGTTGATGAGGGGATGGGAGAGCTGGGGTTGACGGGATGGAAGAGCTGGGGATGAGGGGACGGGAGAGCTGGGGTTGAGGTAATGGGACAGCTGGGCCCGGTTACATAGAACGCACCCAAGTAAAAATGTTTCTTATTTAACGTCGCTGTGCTTTGGAATGGAAGTGAAGGGGGAAGTTTCACTGGAGTGATTTCGTTCAACTGACCATAGGAACTAAAAACACCACCAAGTGATTTGGGGGATAGGATATCTGGGGAGGCAGGAAATGTGCTAAGATTTGAGGGACACTGGGCAGGCAAAGGCCGTCTACAAAATAGAATCCACCTGGTCAAAAACAAAGTTTGACATTTTCAGACACACTGTTTGAAGAATGACTTTGCACAGTACTGGAATATCCATGCACAGGTTACCGATAAGAAACTGGAGGATCAGCAATTGAAGAACTGGCATTGATAAACCCAAGGGTTCGGGGATCCGAGAACCCAGGAACCAGATACACGGGAAGGGAAGAGGGAACCAGGGATGATAGACGTGGGGGACACACAGTAGATAAGACCGATGGAATGGAAAACCCAGGAGTGAGAACATTTGGGAGTAATTCAGATCATGAAACAAAGAGAGCTCGGATCAAGGAGTTGAGAAACCAGGACTGACACTCAAGAGATGTGAAAGCCAGAGATAACAAACACGGGGGATTGGAGACCTGAAAGATGAGAGACTGAGGAAAGGGAGGCAGAAGATAAAACGACAAAGAGGGAGAACCCCGATGTGAGACCCAGAGAAGCCTGGGTGTGAAACCCAGGAAGACGATGGGGGTGTGAGACCAGACTTTCCTTCAAAAACCCAAGGAAAGAGTGGAATGGACATGCGGAGTCATCGGACCAAATAGCAAGTGCCTGAGAGATCCACAAAAATAGGTCCTATAAGGCAAAGAACTCATCCCCGCAGATCACCCAATCCCTCACCTCCATCCACATCCTGGCCAGGTGCAGGCAAAGGGCTTCTCTCCCGTGTGGCGCCGCAGGTGCGCCTTTAGGTGGCTGCTCTTGGTGTACATCTTGTTGCATCCCGGATGCTCACACTTGTGCATCTTCAGCACTTCGTGGGCCGCCGCCACTGCGACCGCCGCCCCGTGTGGGCCTCCTCGCACCGTCAGCCGCTGGCCCGCCACCGGCACGCCGCTCACCACGAGGCCACCGGGCCCCTGCAGCGCCGTGCCGGGCTTGGCCGCGATCGGCACGGGAGCGATGCGCACGTAGGGCCGGCACGACGACGCGGGACCTTGCGGCACCAGCGCGAACGTCTGGCCCTGGATGTTGATGAGCAACTGCGCGAGCTTCACGCCGCCCGCCGGAATCGGCGGAGGCGACTGCCCAGCTGCCTCAGCCGACCGTTCCGCCGCTGGCGTCGCCACGGGCTGCACAACGAGTGGCAACGTGGACGTCGGACGGATCGTGCTCACGTCGCCGGGGCTGCCGGAGCAATTGATGCTGCCGATGCTGCTCGTGCCTCCCCCACTACCGCCGCCACCGCCGACGTTGCAGCTGCTGCCGCCGCCGTGCTTGTTGGTCTCGGTCGTGGCCTCAACCTTGATTGTGGCCGAGCTGTCCGTGCCGTTCTTGAGCACCTGCATGTGCTCCTGCAGGAACTCCTCGATCTCTTCCAGCGTGGGTCTGAAGTCACCCGCGAGGTCCGGGAGCTCAAGGGTGCACACTTGCTGCTGCTGGTGGTGGTGCCCCGTGCCACCCCGTGCCTCCTGTTGCAGCTGCAGCTGAGGTGTCCCACCGCTGCATTGTGGGCTGTCGCCGCCGCTGCTGCTGCCACTGCATGTGGAGCGCGGGCTGCTGCTGCTGTTGCTGCTTGTGTCGCTGTCGCCCTCCGAGCCCAGGCCTTGCTCGCTCGCTCCGCGCACCTCGTCCGACTGCATGTGTGGGGCCTCAGCCGGGATCACCTCCACCATCCCGGGGACCCTGGGACCACGGGGACTCGCCGCAGGCCCAGGTCCCGGGCCTTGGGGTCCCCTCCTCTCTCTCTCCCCTCCTCTCTCCGGTATTCTCCCCTCTTCTCCCACCGTGGATTTTGCTCCCTTCACTTCTCTCCCTCTTTCACGTGGTGGCGCCAAGGAATCTCTCTTCTCTCTCCTCTCACCCCGACCACTGAGCTCGCGCTCTCATCTCCTCCCCTGCCCGTCACCTCAACTCCCCTCCTCGTGCCAAACGGTCCTTGGGCACCCCCCCCCCCCCACCTCTTCTTATCCTGCCTGTACCTCCACTCACATCGGCCCTGTCTGTGGGCCACCCGCTCTCGCTACTCCTCCTCTCTTCTCTCACTTAAGGAGTTGAGCCTCACCAACTCTCTCCTCTGACCGGTCTCCACGTGCGGCTCGCGTGTCCGTATCCTCGTCGGGAGGGGAGGAGGGGGAGCGCCGAGCTGGGGTGGGGACCCACGCTCCCCGGCCCTAGAGGGTTGGATGACGGGGGGGGGGGGTGAGAGGCGAGGTTGTAGTCACGGTGTAGTCAAGGTGTGGTGGGCACACTGTGGCCACGGAGCCGAATGCAGCTCACCAAGGACTCTTTTGTGATGTCATTTATTAAGGGCTACCGTCTCGTATTGAAACATTTAGGGGTGTTTTTTTTTACACCGGATTTAAATAAATGGCTCTTCTTGTTATTTTGATTTCCGATCCCTGGCGTTGTATTTGTGCACTGCGCACTGTGTGCGCACTATTTGTATGTGTACTTGACTCTTTAGTGCTGTTTGTGTGCTGCATATACTGATTCATTATCTGGTGATGCTGGTGCTGCATCGGCAGTGATGTACCAGCACAAACAACAACAACAACAAACTCAACACACCCCGTGTCAATAACAATGCGTGTGAACCGAAATTAAACAAGTGCACAATAGCCGACGTTTCGGGTAATGGCCCTTCGTCACGGCACATTGACAAGCCAAAGATGGAGGTGGTGTTTACTGTGCACAGTTGTCTGTGTATTGCATCTGTAGTTACCTTCAGTACTTTGTGTACTGCGTAACTGGCTGTGGACTGTCATACTGTTAATTGTGTACTGAAAATACCGTATGAATACTGTGTTATTAGCATTCGTCAATAACCACACACGCGTTTGTTTCTTTAAGTCCAGGTTAATATCGATCAGTGGCAATTGCACAATCAAGCAACCTCATGCGTGGACGGGTTTCGACATCCTGGGTCTCATCAGCATCGTCAGGATCGTTAAGGGAATGCTCGCTCCTCCTCCATATATTAATCACTCCGTGGTCTATCCACTGCTGGTTGAATTAAGGTAACGCCGATCCACGATGTAGCAATTACGTACCGATAATCTTTGTGTGAGCTTGTAACGATTAATAGTTGATGACTTGTTATTACGGTGTTGGACTCGTGAACACGTGCCATTGTATGCAAGCGATGTGCAAACCACATGCAAATTACCGTGTGAATGTTCTCTGCGGTAACTGGAAAATAATCGATTGTTTACATCGACTTGTTAAGATGCAATCGTCGGTGGTGAAGTCTGTATGGAATATAGATTATAAATAATTGCTTATCAGTTATTTATAATTAATCAGTTTATGGTTATGATTGTGTTTGTTTGCATACATCGCTACATACAAATACTGTACAAACATCCCCTGTATAGCCTCAACACTGTTAGGGCAAGGGGACGTCCACAAATGACGTCACGCGATTTTGGACGATTTTTGACCCCCCCCCCTCGTCACAAGGCGTCACAAAAAGTCAGACCCCCCCCTCAAATATGACGTCACAAAGCTCTGCCCCTGCCCCCCCCACAAAAAAATAAAACATGCTTCAAATCGCTTTAAACTATTGTCATTGTAGTGCGTATTTAATGTCCCGCTGCACTCTGATGTTGTAGGAGAAAACATTTATTAAAAAGTATATTTAATTAAATAGAACGTGTATATTTATTTAAAGTTGCGCATTTTGATGTGACGTCATATTTCTCAAACCCCCCCCCCCCCCATCGTCACAAATGTCTGACCCCCCCCCCCAGGTGCGTGACGTCATTTATGGACGGCCCCCTAGTGCTCTTAGCGAGCAGCGCCTATGAAGGCCGGCACAGCACACAGGGAATGATAATGACAAAGATAAACACAAAGCCGTTCACTACCACCACACTCAAACACACACGCGTCAGCTCCTATTCTCTGGACTTTCATCAGTGCTGAAGTTAAGTTGCTGGCCGCTTTGCGTTACAGACCGTTGAACCTGCGCCCAACAACTGCGATTGTAAATAAAATCACACACACAAGTTAACACTACACACACACTGTCACACACACAATCACACTGCACACACACACAGCCATTATCATACACACGACACACACACACATATATACACAATCACCCTGCACACACACACACACACAGCCATTCCCATACACACGACACACATATATACACAATCACACTGCACACAGCCATTCTCATACACACGACACACATATACACAATCACACTGCACACACACAGCCACTCATACACACGACACACAGACATATACACAATCATACTGCACACACACACAGCCATTCCCATACACACGACACACACATATACACAATCACACTGCACACAGCCACTCATACACACGACACACACATACACAATCACACTGCACACAGCCACTCATACACACACACATATACACAATCACCCTGCACACACACAGCCATTCCCATACACACGACACACACATATACACAATCACCCTGCACACACACACACAGCCATTCCCATACACACGACACACATATACACAATCACACTGCGCACACACAGCCACTCATACACACGACACACACATATACACAATCACACTGCACACACATATCCATTCTTATACACACGACACACACATACACAATCACACTGCACACACAGCCACTCATACACACGACACACACATATACACAATCACACTGCACACACACAGCCATTCCCATACACACGACACACACATATACACAATCACACTGCACACACATATCCATTCTCATACACACGACACACACATATACACAATCACACTGCACACACACACAGCCATTCCCACACACACGGCACACATATACACAATCACACTGCACACACACAGCCACTCATACACACGACACACACACATATACACAATCATACTGCACACACACACAACCATTCCCATACACACGACACACACATACACACAATCGCACTGCACACACACACATAGCCATCTCATACAAACATACTGCACACACATACACAATTACACACACTCATGTCTTACACAATCATAATACGACACACTCTCACTCACATATATACAATCACACTGCACACGCAAACATCTCATGCATAGACATCCCCATACACACGCTCACAAACTCTCATACACAGCGTATAATTTCTCATACATACTGCATATACATACACAATGACACAGCACATACACACTCTCACATTCTCATACACAATAACACACAGCGTACTCTCACACACACTGCGACCTTGCCCACACACCCATTCACACGTACCAACACGCACACCGTGCTGTGTACACGTGCACACACGCACACGTGCAAACAAAACATCACTGATCCCCTCCATATCGCCCTTTATCAGACGTGTTGGGACAAGTTATGTTAACGAGTAGCAGCACCTATGGCGCTAGCACGCGAGGTTGGGTGGTGTGGCCAGGACCACGTCCGCCCGGCCGTCTTTGTCTTCCCAGCGGGCATATGTTTACACTATGCACCCGGTATTCATTTAAGGCCGTGTCGACCTAGGGGTGGGGGTTCCCAGGAGCGGTTCATATTTTCGCCACTGATGTTGCCCGCGTGGGGGGGTGGGGGATGGAACGCGACTCACGAAGTGTCTCGTGTGTATGTCTACGTGTGTGTGTGTCTACGTGTGTGTACGCGTGTGTATACGTGTGCACGTGTGTGTGCGTGTGTCTGCGTGTACGTGTGCGTGTCTGCGTGTGTGTGTACGTGTGTGTGTCTACGTGTCTGCGTGTGTGTACGCGTGTGTACGTGTGCACGTGTGTGTGCGTGTGTCTGCGTGTGTGTGTACGTGGACGTGTGTGTACGTGTGTGCGTGTACGTGTGTGTACGCATGTGTGTGCGTACGTGGACGTGTGTGGACGTGTGTGTACGTGTGTATACGTGTGTGTGTACGTGTGTGTGTGTACGCGCGTGTGTGTACGTGTGCACGTGTGTGTGTGCGTGTGTCTGTGAACGTGTACGTGTGTGCGTGTACGTACGAATGCGCACGTACACCGCGACTCTTCCGTTTCACACTCCCATAACTTGGAACACTCACTCGGGGAAATCTTTTTATAAAGATGAACATCGTCACTCGCAAAAGGCGAGATGGTTGTGTTGGAGTGGTGGGGGTGGTGGTGGGGGGGGTCCCCGCCTCCCTTCTCTCCCTCCCGCTTCCCCCTGCACTGGGCCCCGCCATGCCCGCCCCGGGCCTCGCGGCGTCTCCTCGCGCCACGTGGAGCCCGCGGAAGGGGGGGGGGGGGTCCCACGCGGGGTCCCACGCGGGGCGCTGTCAGGTCGTGTGGGATGGGTGAAATGAGTTAAGAAATGGATTGGTGGTGGGTGGATTGATGGAATTGTGGATTAACTGCGTATGTTTAACTTATTTCGCACCGTACGCAGCCAACCGTGCTAACCGGAGGTCCGGTGAAATGACAAAACAAATAAAAACAAAACGCATGGGTGGGTGGGTGGATGCATGGAACTCACTAAAAAATGATGGATGTATGGTGAGATTGATTGGTGGATGAAATGAGCGAACAATGGATCGGTGGATCAATTGATGGCTGTGTGGATGGAAAGAATTCTGAAGTTATGGATGGATGAAATGAGTGAAGTTATGTATGGATGGGTGGGTGGATGGATGGATGTGAAGGATGGATGTTATTAGATGGGTGGATTTAGAAAGGGGCGTTAATTAAGTGTAAGTTGAGTGGACTGATGTCTGGGAAATAAGGGGTGACGGAAGGCGGATCAACGATTTGGTAGGAACTTAAATGAACATTTAAAGTTCGGTAGCTGGAACGAAGGGTTGGAATGCGAGCTGCGTGGACGGTGGACCGATGGATGATAAGATGAAGAGGTGTATGGGAGAGCTGTGAAGGATTCATACAAGGGGGAAGGATGGATGGAGTGCACGAGTGTCGAGCGACAGCAGGGAAAACTCTGGCTCTTGCGGTCCCCTTACAGACACGAAACTCTCCGCCTCCCCTCGCCACCTTCCCGGGCCCCTATCCCCTCGCACGCAAACACGAACGAGAGACAACGACGCGAACGAAGAGCGACTCTTTACATTTAGAGCCCCCCACCCCCACCTCCCAGCTTTCAGCTCCCAAGGCCCCCTCCTCCCCCCTTCCAGCAAAGGGGGGCACGAGCAAAAAACCAGCACTCTTACCATCAACATGATCAACATCACCAACAAACAACAGCAGCAGCACTTACTCGTTGTGCAGCACCCGGCGATTGCTCCCACGTTGTGCTACTCTCTCCCGCGATGGGTCGCGTGCTGCTCTTGTTGATGCTACTGCTGCTGGTGATGATGTTGTTGTTGTGTCGTTAAAGAACTCCCCTCTCTATCGAGGTTGCTGCCGTTGAAATGTCGCTTCCATCCACCCGCGTTTCAGCCACTCCACATCATCACATGACGGCGATGGGGGGGGAGGGAGGCTTGTGCGTGGGGAATGTGTGTGTGTTGTGGGGGGATGTGGGAGTATGTGTGTGCGTATGTGAAAGGTGGGCGGGGGGGTGGGTGGGTATGTGTGTGGGAGTATGTGTGTGCGTTTGATGGGTGGGAGGTATGTGCGTGTGTAACTGGTGTGTGTATGTTATGGGGGTATTGTACGCGTAATGGTTAGGTATGTGGGTAGGGGTATGTGTGGATGTATGTAATGAGTGGGTAGTGTGTATGTGTGATAGCTTGGGTATGTCCTGGGTCCGTTGGTATGTGCTCCGTTGATACGAAGGGCCGAGTTTTGTATGTGTGTAAATGCGAGCTTTGGTGTGGAGAGAGACTGGTTATGTGTGTTCATATGCTGCTTTTTGTGTTTGTGTAAACACGTGTTCGATGCAATGGCGTCACGAGAACGGAGGCTCGGCGGGTGACATCACATGACCAACCCTGCCTCCACTCACTGGCGGTGAGAGAAGTGCGCGTGTGAATGAGATCGATGTGTGGCTATGTGTGAGACAGTATATGACATTCGTGTTGTTTCCTGTGCCAGCCTTCATACGTGCTCGCTAAAAGCACTTTCCACAACAATCTGTGCCTATACTGTATGGGGGAACTTTGTGAACGTGATAGTGCGTGTATATATTGTTTTATAAAAATCAAATGTACTGGGGAGACAAAGGCGGTCGGGCGTGGCGCTGGTCACACCAACCCCCGTGGTGGGACGTACCGGCTTTAATAGATGCTCGTTAACAGCAACTTGCCGCAACAGCCTGTGGTGGACTACACGGGGGACCATTGTCTTTATCTCTGCGTTTCAATGTTTGTATTGTTGTCTTTGGCACCGCAATGCAAAGCACGTCCACGTGTTACCCCCGCGCGTGTACCACGTGCAATGACGTCACGGACAGGGAGGCTCGACGGTGACGTCACGAGCGCGGCGGGGCTCGTGTCGGGGGAAGGGAGGGGGGTTGGGTCGTATCGCCGCTCCTCATTGGCTCGGTGTGGGGGGGGGGGGCGTTGCGACGTCAACGCGGGTCGCCTCGTTCGGCCACTTGACGTCACCCCTCCCCTCACCACCCCTTCGCTGCGGGATGTGACGTCACGGCGATCACGTGGCGCCTCGCGTGCAAGTGACCTTGGGTGTTGTGGAGGCGAGACCGGCTTCTACCGGCACACACTGAGAGATATACTGGCACACTGAGAGATATACTGGCACACTGAGAGATACACTGGCACACTGAGAGATATACTGGCACACTGAGAGATACACTGGCACACTGAGAGATATACTGGCACACTGAGAGATATTCTGGCACACTGAGAGATATACTGGCACACTGAGAGATACACTGGCACACTGAGAGATACACTGGCACACTGAGAGATATACTGGCACACTGAGAGATACACTGGCACACTGAGAGATATACTGGCACACTGAGAGATACACTGGCACACTGAGAGATATACTGGCACACTGAGAGATACACTGGCACACTGAGAGATACACTGGCACACTGAGAGATACACTGGCACACTGAGAGATATACTGGCACACTGAGAGATACACTGGCACACTGAGAGATATACTGGCACACTGAGAGATACACTGGCACACTGAGAGATATACTGGCACACTGAGAGATACACTGGGACACTGAGAGATATACTGGCACACTGAGAGATACACTGGCACACTGAGAGATATGCTGGCACACTGAGAGATATACTGGCACACTGAGAGATATACTGGCACACTGAGAGATACACTGGCACACTGAGAGATACACTGGCACACTGAGAGATATACTGGCACACTGAGATACACTGGCACACTGAGAGATATACTGGTACACTGAGAGATACACTGTCATACTGAGAGATATACTGGCACACTGAGAGATACACTGGCACACTGAGAGATATACTGGCACACTGAGAGATACACTGGCACACTCAGAGATATACTGGCACACTGAGAGATACGCTGGCGTCACGGGGGGTATACTGACACACTGAGAGATATACTGCCACACTGAGAGATACACTGGCACGCTGAGAGATATACTGGCACACTGAGATATATACTGGCACACTGAGAGATACACTGGCGTCACGGGGGTATACTGACACACTGAGATATACTGGCACACTGAGAGATATACTGGCGTAACGGGGATATACTGGCACACTGAGATATAATGCACTGGGGTATCAGCACAGATATATCAGTACCATTGGGATATACTGGAAAATTGTGGATGTACCGCTACAATGGTGACATACTTAAATAACAGATTAGTGAATTAAGAGACAGATTGGCACAATGGAAAATTTGCTCGTGTCATTACAGATATACTGACACTATGGCGACATCCTGGCACATTCGGATATATACTGTATATTGATAGTAACGATATTATAATTATTGGCACATCACGGCATCAAGGAACACTGGCATGATCACAGATATGCTGGCATTCAGGGAGATGCACTGGCACCGTGATATACGATATTGTCATTGTATATGTAATGTACACGTTACTGTTTACACGTGTTGGTGTTTACAAGCGCAGTAATAACCACGTGTTGTTTACACTGAGCACGTGTCGTGTTGTTGTTTCCACGTGGGTGGGCAGCAGTGGGATTACATTTGCCTGCCTGTTGCAGTCGGCGCTTCGTGTGTGAAGACGTTTCGGGCTTCACCCCTTGGTCAACTCGTTGGTATACAAACATTCGCGATGCGTGCGTGGGATAGGGGAAGCGAGAGAAGCGAAACTTTTCCCCCCGAGGTTTGCTTGATGCGCTGCAACGTTGGCAATGAACAACAGCCTCGGCGACGTGAGGGTTACGGACTGGGCAATGGTGCCCCCTTGTGGGTCGGATTTCACATGGAGCAAATGTAAACTCCGTTGGAAAAAAAGAGCCGCGTTGTCACACATCACTCCCCCTCCATTCATTCGCCGCGATGCCGTTTACCCTAAGCGAAGTCCAGCAAATCGTGGAAAACGCACACCTCCCCATCCACCAGTACGTACATGAAACAGAGCTCATTGGGCCCTTACTGCTTAAATACATTTAAATCTATCTAGGATCTCAACAACGTCCCTCACCACGACTGCTTAAAAGCGTGCAATTCCCCGTTTGTGGAAACACGCGCTCAATTTTCAACAATGCAACCCTGATGGCGAAGTTTTGAAAGACAAATGGAGTTCACAAGATGTCACAAACATATCGTGCAAGACCCAACGACGTAGAAGATCTCTGGCTTCCATGAAGAAATCCACTGCACAAACCATGGCAACAGATGCAGATATGACCGCAGCCCCCCCAAAATTGAACCATTGAACATATAACGCCACAATGCCAGATTCAAACGTGGAGGCATTAACAGGGATTGTCCACTTCACTATCGCAATAACCTGGCTCAAACGCCTTAATGTACTTATAGTTGTCACTCTACACCAACATCAGCCATACGGAGAAGTTGCTATTCCACCATGTTTTGACTCTCAGTGATCACCCCTGCGAGTAACGACGTGTCCTGCACAAGCCCACTTGACTTTGCATGTTTTTTCAGGTGGTCCATTTTTGTGTTAATATAATTTCAAGCTTGTAGCTCTCCAAGCTTCGTTGCATCATTTTTTGATCCGCGTCATCACAAGTCGTACTCAAACTGTAAATGTTGTGGATTCACTCTTCAACCCACCGGTGGGCTAAAGTAGTGAATTATCTGTCTTTTGTCAACGTGACACTTTTTTTGCTGATTGGCCGTGTCGGGTGGTGGCGGGGTTACGACACATTTATAAATAACGCGATCTAACCCAAAAACCCTTATTATGAACCGATTAAAATGTTCTCTATCCACACTGGAGTGTATCATCAATGTTATCCATAGGTCACCTTGGCGACACCACATGGGATCCCCTTTACGACTCACAGCCCCAACTTTGAGCTCATTCCCATGCGTGTGTAGTGTGTGTGCGTGCACGTGTTATTTCTGTGTTGAAGCAGTGATGTCTGGAGACATGGCTGTACAAACAGGATTTATTTCGTCTATTAAGAACACCGCGGGAATGGAACAATCACACGAACATTGTTGGGAGACGTGAAGATGCCTAAGAATCGCTTAGCGTAAAATCACACCTCGCTAAATTCAAAATGTTAAAACCGCGTGAATGAAACATCAAACCAATATTGTTGGGATACGTGAAAATGCCTACGAATCCCTTAGTGTGGAACCACACCTCGCGAAATTCACAATGTTACGCATTTTTTATCCTCTAAATGCCGCTGAACAAAAAAAAAATACCTGGGAGCATGGTACACGTTATTTTAACTCACTTTGAAACGCTTTACAAAAACGCCTTAAAAGTTGATGAACTAATAACAAAGATGCCAAGTGAAAACAAACGGATTTGAAATATCTGGAGGCACATCACTCCCTCATCTCCCCGTCCTCCTCTTCCTCCTCCACGCCTCGCACGTACAGCACGTTGTTACACCTGCGAGCGACAAGAGACCGGTCATGCACACGTACAGTCAATTTGTCAATCCAGCCGCCCCATGCGGGTTTTGGGGGTTGTGTTGACCATGCTTCACCACGCTTGTCAGTGCGACGTTTGAGATGGCGGGGAACATGAATGCGGGAGCTTAGAAAGAACAGAAACTGATTTTGCTGCACTGGTTTCTGCTGCCCACAATCTCGTCCTGCAAAAACAGGTCGCATAGGCTGCAGGTGGAGGGGAGGGGGGAAGAGGCCGTTCAGTGGTGTTTAGGGATACAAACATTCAGTAAAAACCATCCAGTCAGCTTGCACCTTCTCTGCAGGTGCTCCCATTGCCTGGAAATTCCTCTGGCTCTCTGTACCAAACACCCTTTACCACTGTTCACGTGCAGGATCAAGACCTTCTTCCTCTTTCACTCATGACTGCCTCACTCCCTATGAAATATTTCTAATCACATCTTTATCACCCCATGTATTCGTAGTATTTAGAGATGCAGTCCCACTCGACACTTCATAAACCCATATTGCTTCGTATTTTATTATAATAAACATCCGCACGCCCTCACTAGTGTCACCTTTTAGCTTTTCATTCTCTTTTTTACTCTTCGTTTTCACAACACCAAGCACGCTTGCAACCGGGGCAAAGCCAGTAGTTGTAGCAACACGACTCACCGGATGAGGATCTCCCCCAGGTGCCCTGCCAAGGCACCATCGATGAACTCCTCAGTGTTGGCGAGCTGCACAACACCGCATGGCAGAATATTGTATGAGACCGTACAGCAAGACGTACATTCCAGATTAATGTCAAGGTCACACTCACCATATTCAGGGTCCTCTGTGTTCTACCCCCGACTACCTCTCACCTCTTGACTCACCCTACACTCCACACAATCTCTTGCTTCTCACCTTTGAACTCACTACTGCCCTCCATGCACTCTCCTACTGGATGACAGTGGTTATTTGGGACGAGAGTTTGCGAAGTAACACAATTCGATACGTGCATGATGAGCAGAGGAACCAATTGTGCTTAATGAATCGCTCAGCGTCATCATGTATTATTTATACCGCAGGTCCCATGCAGTACATCGAGGCGCGAGGTCACTGGCCACCGCTGCCCGAGGGGCTCGTCAGTGTGACGTGGTCTCGGGACACCCCGCGTTGCCTCGATTCGCACCTGCATGTTCATGTAGCCATCGACGGACACAAGGTATCCCTTGTACTCCATGCCCCACTTCAGTTTCACCATCACGGGTTTCCCAGTCAGGCCGTTCAGGAACGGCTTCGGGTTCATAGGCAGTGAGGTCTGCGGGGAGGGAAGGCAAAACCATAATTGTTACGATAATCATCACGAACATCTTCATGATCACCATCGGGCATCATAATAACTGTGATGTGATAATCACTATGATCATCGCTATGAACATAATTCATAGCGATGATCATAACGGTGCGAATTTTGTGAATGCCGGGAGCATAGAATGCACAGCAAATAGGCACTTCCGTCTGCTACTCTTCACGCAGCCCCGCAGATGCTAATAGTCCAGCATGCGTGGTGATAGCCCATCCAAGAACTATTCAGGGTCAACCCCTGCTTAGCTTCCAATGTCTGACACATTCCAAGAGTCTGTCATTGTATAAACTGTGATAATAAAAAAACACGTGTCGGCAAGGCCCCGTCTCTCCGCGTGTCTATCGCGGTGGCGAGATGTTATCCCCCTCGCCAGGAATGAAGGAGGTCGTGGGTAGGGCTGAACAATTTGGGGAAATATCTAATTGCGATTTTTCTGACAGATATTGCGATTGCGATTTGCGATTACATTTTTAAAAGTCAAGCTTCTGTTCAATATTCACTGTGTAATATATTTAAAACGTGGAGCATTACCACATGAAACCATCAAAATATGAACTCCTCTTATATTTTAATGCAAGGATGATTACTTAAAATATATGAATTGCTAGCAACATGTATTTTTTTTTAAATAATTGAAGTAGAAAAATGAAACAGAACAAATGTTAAGTTAATTAAAGTTATAATAAAAAAACAATTCCAATAAGTAATAGGACTTTTCAAATCGCCCAAAATCGCAGCCTTTGCGATTTACTAATCGCTCACGTCTGTATATTTGGAGTTTGCATGTTCTCTCCGGGTCCCCCGTTTTCCCCTTTACATTTATAAACACGCGCTCAGATTATATCCATGTACTCTTTCGTCTCTCCTTCGTGTCCCCCCCTCCCCGTTTCCCTCCCCCAGCGTCTCCCTTGTCTCTCGTCCCTCTCTTATCTCTCTCCTCGAGTCTCCATTGTGCATTTCTCTCTACCCCCGTGTATCTCTACCCCCGCGTGTCCCTCTACCCCCGCGTGTCCCTCTACCCCCGCGTGTCTCTACACCCGCGTGTATCTCTACCCCCGTGTCTCTCTACACCGCGTGTCCCTCTACCCCCGTGTATCTCTACCCCCGTGTACCTCTACACCCGCGTGTACCTCTACCCCCGCGTGTCCCTCTACCCCCGCGTGTCCCTCTACCCCCGCGTGTCCCTCTACCCCCGCGTGTCCCTCTACCCCCGCGTGTCCCTCTACCCCCGCGTGTCCCTCTACCCCCGCGTGTCCCTCTACCCCCGCGTGTCCCTCTACCCCCGCGTGTCTCTACACCCGCGTGTATCTCTACCCCCGTGTCTCTCTACACCGCGTGTCCCTCTACCCCCGTGTACCTCTACACCCGCGTGTACCTCTACCCCCGCGTGTCCCTCTACACCCGTGTACCTCTACCCCCGCGTGTCCCTCTACCCCCGTGTATCTCTACCCCCGCGTGCCCCTCTACCCTCGTGTTTCTCTACCCCCGCGTGTCCCTCTACCCCCGCGTGTCCCTCTACCCCCGTGTATCTCTACCCCCGCGTGTTTCTCTACCCCCGTGTATCTCTACCCCCGTGTATCTCTACCCCCGTGTATCTCTACCCCCGCGTATCTCTACCCCCGCGTGTCCCTCTACCCCCGTGTATCTCTACCCCCGTTCATCTCTACCCCCGTGTATCTCTACCCCCGCGTGCCCCTCTACCCCCGTGTATCTCTACCCCCGCGTGTCCCTCTACCCCCGTGTATCTCTACCCCCGTGTCCCTCTACCCCGTGTCCCTCTACCCCCGTGTGTCCCTCTACCCCCGTGTATCTCTACCCCCGTGCCCCTCTATACCCGTGTCCCTCTACCACCGCGTGTCCCTCTACCCCCGTGTATCTCTACCCCCGTTTATCTCTACCCCGTGTATCTCTACCCCCGCGTGTCCCTCTACCCCCGTGTCCCTCTACCCCTGTGTATCTCTACCCCCGTGTGTCTCTACCCCCGTGTCCCCCTCTACCCCCGCATGTCCCTCTACCCCCGTGTATCTCTACCCCCGTGTCCCTCTACCCCCGTGTCCCTCTACCCCCGTGTATCTCTACCCCCGTGTCCCCCTCTACCCCCGCGTGTCCCTCCCCACGTTGCCGCCACAATGAGACTCGGAGCGACTCCCACTCGTACCGCCATGTTGGTGTCGAGTAGTCGCCGCTACGCACGATGCCCTTCCAACGGAGACGCGACAACGTGGGCAACGCGCGCTCAGTGAAGTTAGAGAGAGATAATCGCGAGCTGGTGAGGAGCCGGTGAGGAGTTGGTGAGGGGTTGGTGAGGAGTTGGAGTGGAGTGACCGCAGGAGGCGCCTCGCTAAGCCTAGGCCCGGGGAGGAAGACGCGCGGGGCACGACGGGAGCCCTGGACCACGTGACGCCGCCTCGGCCTCCAATGAGAGGGTGCGCGCGCGGCTCGAGGTCACGTGGCGCGAGCGAGAGATGGGGGTGACGAGGTGAGGGCGACTCCTCTACTCACCTCACCCTCTACTCACCCTTTACTCACCTCACCCACCTCACCCTCTACTCACCCTTTACTCACCCTCTACTCACCCTCTACTCACTCATCCTCTACTCACCCTCTACTCACCTCACCCTCTACTCACCCTCTACTCACCTCACCCTCTACTCACCCTCTACTCACCTCACCCTCTACTCACCCACCTCACCCTCCACTCACCCACCTCACCCTCTACTCACCCACCTCACCCTCCACTCACCCACCTCACCCTCCACTCACTCACCTCACCCACCTCACCCACCTCACCCTCCACTCACCCACCTCACCCTCTACTCACCCACCTCACCCTCTACTCACCCACATCACCCTCTACTCACCCTCTTCTCACTCACCTCACCCTCTTCTCACTCACCTCACCCTCGACACACTCACCTCACCCTCCACTCACCCACCTCACCCTCTACTCACTCACCTCACCCACCTCACCCTCCACTCACCCACCTCACCCGCTACTCACCCTCTACTCACCCACCTCACCCTCCACTCACCCACCTCACCCTCGACTCACTCACCTCACCCACCTCACCCTCCACTCACTCACCTCACCCTCGACTCACTCACCTCACCCTTGACTCACCCTCTACTCACCCACCTCACCCTCTACTCACTCACCTCACCCTCTACTCACCCACCTCACCCTCTACTCACCCACCTCACCCTCCACTCACCCTCTACTCACTCACCTCACCCTCCACTCACCCACCTCACCCTATACTCACCCTCTACTCACTCACCTCACCCTCCACTCACCTCACCCTCCACTCACCCACCTCACCCTCGACTCACCCACCTCACCCTCGACTCACCCTCTACTCACTCACCTCACCCACCTCACTCTCTACTCACCCACCTCACCCTCTACTCACTCACCTCACCCTCTACTCACCCACCTCACCCTCTACTCACCCACCTCACCCTCCACTCACCAACCTCACCCTCTACTCACCCACCTCACCCTCTACTCACTCACCTCACCCTCTACTCACCCACCTCACTTTCCACTCACCCACCTCACCCTCCACTCACCCACCTCACCCTCTACTCACTCACCTCACCCTCCACTCACCCACCTCACCCTCCACTCACCAACCTCACCCTCCACTCACCAACCTCACCCTCTACTCACCCACCTCACCCTCTACTCACCCTCCACTCACCCACCTCACCCTCCACTCACCAACCTCACCCTCTACTCACCCACCTCACCCTCCACTCACCCACCTCACCCTCCACTCACCCACCTCACCCTCTACTCACCCACCTCACCCTCTACTCACCCTCTACTCACCCACCTCACCCTCCACTCACCCACCTCACCCTCCACTCACCCACCTCACCCTCCACTCACCAACCTCACCCTCTACTCACCCACCTCACCCTCCACTCACCCACCTCACCCTCTACTCACCCACCTCACCCTCCAATCACCCACCTCACCCTCCACTCACCCACCTCACCCTCCACTCACCCACCTGACCCTCCACTCACCAACCTCACCCTCTACTCACCCACCTCACCCTCCACTCACCCACCTCACCCTCTACTCACCCACCTCACCCTCCACTCACCCACCTCACCCTCCACTCACCCACCTCACCCTCCACTCACTCACCTCACCCTCTACTCACCCACCTCACCCTCTACTCACCCACCTCACCCTCCACTCACTCACCTCACCCTCTACTCACCCACCTCACCCTCTACTCACTCACCTCACCCTCCACTCACCCACCTCACCCTCCACTCACCTACCTCACCCTCTACTGACCCACCTCACCCTCCACTCCCTTATCCTCTACTCACCTATGTCACCTTCACTCACCTCATCTTATTCTCTACTCACCTAATTGAAATTTCATATTCAGTAGATGTTTTAATTTACATTTTCTCTTTCCAAAATATCTGACAAACACACCGAGATACCGTTCTTTATCGACATTAAACAGTTTTATATAAACAGCGACCACTGTCACCTTGCTGCCATACACATTTTGGATCTGGAGAGAAAATGTCGAGAGAAACTCATCACTTGCGTTTCCCATCCGACTCAAGCTCAAACGAGTACCTGGTGTGATGTGTAAACATCGCCACTGGGGACACAAAGGCGGCCGGGCGTGGTGCTGGCCACCCAACCCCTTGTGTGCCGTGCCGGCCTTAATAGGTGCTCGCTAACAGCACTTGCCAGAATTATCTGCTTAGGCTATACGGGGAATCTTTGTCTTTGTACCGATGCGGTGAGCGGCGCCGGCGTGTGTGTCAGCGTGTGCCAGTGGCCGCTGGCAGATGGCAAGAGCATCCAGCAGAACGTGGAGATGCTGGCCAAGAAGCTGGAGCTGATGGGTGCCACCAAGCAGGCCTCCTTCTTGGTGGACTGCGAGATGTACCACCCGGTCTCCAGCACGGGTGAGGGGGCACGCACGGCGACTCGCCTCGTCCTGTGCATGCGCAGGGTGATGCGTGTGTGAGTTTCTATGTTGTGTGCGTGAGGTGTGTGGTGGGTGTATGGTGTATGTCCTCGAACTCACCTAGGCCGACTTGGCCTTCATTGAGTACCTGGTGCAGTGTCCAAACTTCAACATTGGGGAGACAAAGGCCGTGGTCCTGGCCACACCAGCCCATTGTTTGCCATTCCGGCCTTAATAGGTACTCGCTAACAACAGCCTGTTACAGGCTGTATAGGGGACCTTTATCTGACGCTGTATATTTGGAGTTTTCACGTTCTCCCCGTGGTCGCGTGAACTTTTCTCCGGGTCCTCCGGTTTTTCCTCCACATTTAGAAACGTGCGTCTAGAATATTTGGCTGCTATAAATTTCCACGTGATAAGCGACTTCCTTGAGCTATCATTTGTGGCCAGGTCGCTTCTGAAAGAGCTATACGGTATCGCTCAATGGGCCTTACCTGGTAAAATAATAAGTTTTAAGCATGTAATTTAGTATGTGTGTGTTTGGTATATGCGAAATGTGGCATGTGCGAGGTGTGGTTGCCACGTATATTATCAATTTGGATAATTTGAATTTTGCAGGGAAAGAAATGTCTCATCTCTGTTCCCCTGTGTGCTGACTGGCATCGCCATGGCTTATAGGGGGGGTTCCCTGCCTTCGGGAGGTCAGGATGTTATGGAGGCCACTAATTTTAAAGGGGCCTTAGTATAATTGACCACAAAAAGAATATCAAAAATTTTCTTTGTGTTTAAACAATACGTGTTTATTTCACGAATCAAGGGCATCTTTACCCATATGTATGTTTGTTAAACTTCTTTCGCACCGTACGTAGCCAGGTGTGGGAGCACCTCCGAATGCCGATTGACCATATCGTTACCCCCCCCCCCCCCCATCGCTATAACGATTTCTCCACATCACAGGTCAGTCCATGAAGTGCATGTATGTGATGCACAACTCGGAGTACCCGCTCAGCTGCTTCGCGCTCTACGAGAACGGGCCCTGTCTCACGGCCGACGTTGGCTTCGACGCACTCATGCTGAAGCTCAAGGGCCTCTTCCAGAATGCCAAAAGCAACAAGGTGAGCGGTGAGGGGGGGGCGGCATGGCCCCCCGACTACCACGTCTACACTGGAGATCCAAAGGAGAGGCATTGTGATGGTTCAATCGGTGAAACCCAAGTTACATTTTGGGTTGTTATTGCGAACGCAAAACACGGACCCTACCCCTAAATAAACCATAAAACCAAATACTATTTCTAACCCTAACTATATTAGCCATCCAAACCCTAACACTTTCCCCATCTCATCTCCCTACTCACTGTTTCCTGTTCACTCTAAGTGCTGCCATTGCCATGAGGTGGCCGTGTGTCTAGACTGCCTGCTGTATTAATGAGGCTATTATCGTTTTATCACAGGTTGAGGCACGAGGAACGCGCTATGTTTATGCAGACTTCCTCATCAAGCTCGGCACAGTCACCATGGGGCCCAGCTCCAAGGGAGTGTGTGTGGAGGTGCGATGCACAATTACAAGCAGCTTCCTCCGTCAGACTTATGGGGAGCATGGTTTAGAGGGGGCAGTGAGGTGGGGACGGCAGTCCGGGTTTTCGTCTGTTAGCCAATACACATGACCTCTTTAAACATAGTTCACAATGGTTAATGATCGGTTGAACTCACTCCAACGATCCACACAGTGGGTGGGAAAGCCCTGATTGTATATACAAAAGGTGCTATATATGTATATTGTGAGCTAAAGTTCCAATTTTACTCTTTGGTTCTTTCGGTAAAGTCACATAGAAAGAAAAAATCAAATAATAGCATGACATTTATCATGAACACAATCTCCAACCAAACCGTACCTACACCAGACAACCAGAGACACTCCCTACACCTAACAATAACCACACTAGCCTCGTGCCCAGGCGCGAGCTGACACTCTGCTCATCTTCTGAATGTGTGGTAAGTGCAGGTGGAATACTGCCCATGCGTGGTGCCCAGTGACTGCTGGGGCCTCCTGCAGGAGTTCATGCAGGCCCTGCTGGGCCCCCATGCGCCCGTGAGTCCGCCCACGGCTGGCGCGGGCCGGGCCGATGGGGCCACTGGTGGCGCGGCACTTTACACCGCCGCTGACACCATGGTGCAGTACATGGAGCTGTTCAACCGCATGCGCAAGCAGCAGGGCCCCTCAGCGCCCACACAACGCTAGTCTGCCTATTCGCGATTTGGATAAAGTGCTAAAAACTGGACAATTGTAAATTACTACTGAAGGCCTGACCAAATCCCCTTTCATAGATCCCACAGTCTCCATGAGGACATTTAGTCAAGAGCACCATCCGCTTGCTACATAATACAATTTATATTTATATGGCAGTTAACTTTTATATGGCAGCATATGTGACTGTCTCGAGACGCTCTACAAACAGTGGGGGGGGCAGAGGTGGATATCGGATATCAGGGATTTCTAGGGTGTGAAGAGAGGAGGGATGGGCTGGAGACACTTAATAGAGCAGCCACAGGCAGATGAGAAGAGATCTCAAAGCCAGAGCTGAATTGGAGAAGTGTCTCAGCAGTGTGGACAAATAGAGTTCCGGACAGCGGGGCAAGCAGCAGAGGAGTGACCTCCCATTGAGTGGAGGTTGACTGAAAGTGAAATCAGACGAGAGAAAAGAAAAACCTGAATATTTTGGTTTTAAGCGTTCACACAAAACAAATCTCATTGTATTATTTAATAAATCTCACAAATGCGTAGACGCTGTATTTGTTACAAGTTTATTTAGACAAGACGAGGGCCATTGGGGATGAACTCCATTCGCAAGCGAAACGTTCTGTGTTCAAGATCAGTGCATTTAATTTGTATGAATGTATGTTGAACTTCTTTCGCACTGTAAGTAGCCAACTGTGGTAATCACCCACATGGTGAGAAACGATGCCTCCAAACATGTACCAGCATCACACAAATGGGTGCAACGGTTGAAGATCATGTCTCTACGCGTCACACACAAAGAGAACGTGCGAATCAGAGCATGAACTAAGAGTGGGCTCCGACTTCTAATTTAAGCGTTTGGGTCTTCACGACTCCGTTGGCCGTAGCTCTGAGATGTATAAATACAACTTTATACACAGCTCATATCAATCAACGGTGCATCATGACCGCCCAGCAGGCGATGCCGTTTACGGACAAAATCACGTGGAATACATATTTTTACCTGCTTAAAACTCACCACTTGGTATCGTTTACATAAAACGACGACGCAAATCAGGTCGCAAATAAAAAAGGAAGAGTCAAGTAGGCATGGGTATGCGATGCCACGGGAAGCCCTCCTGCACAACTACGTGCGCCATATGCCCGTTAACTCTGACCCACAGTCGTCGCACGATCGGTGACTGTGGCGGCTGCCACCTCCCCGTGCCCGCTCTCCGAGACCTCACTCATGGCTGGTGACTCAGAAGTGGCCGGCTCGCCGCCCTGCCCGCCTTCCGGTGCGTTTTCGTGCCGGTCTGCTGACCCCTCGGGGGCGACCGGAATGTCAAGGTCGTCATTTGTGAGGGCGGTGGTGGGGTCGTCGTCCTGCGGGTAGATCTCCGGGTAGCGCTGCATGCACTCCTGCATGTCACGGAAGTGGTCGATGCAGTCGGCACCGCGCATCTCCTCCTTGCTATTGTGGAAACAGGAGAAGGCTGACTTGAAGGCGTCGCCGCACGGCCCGCTCGCCATGCCACCCAGGCACGGGCAGTTCCAGTTTATCTCCCCGCTAGGCAGGATGAGGCCTGTGTGAGTGAGACAGCGGGTTTAGCATTGTGGCATTTTTGCCTCATCACTATTTGAACAAAAAATCTTCCCACGCTCGTAGTGCGTGCATCAAAATGTGCATGTACGAACGAATTATTTTTTATTGAATGCGCTGGATGACCAAGTCACTCAGAAAGCACCCGGTCTTACCAGATATTGCAAACTAAGCGTTAAACCTGGATAGCACTTGGATGATCACCATGCTTATAAGATTCCAATATTTGGTGAGATTGGGAGCATTGCCAGTGATTTGCTCATACACCAGCAACAATGCTCGTGCCTCTTAATAACACACTTAATTAAACTCAGAAGCACTGCACAGTAGTGGCACAGCGTATCGAGTGTGCAGGCAGTGCAACTGCACCAGGGCCCGTGGTCCAAAGGGGCTCATGTACCAGGCTATGAAGAGGCGGTGGTGGGGGGCAGAAGTTGAGCAGTTGTGGGGCGGGAATTTAATTTCTTGCACCAGGGCGCGTGCCATTCACGCTAATCTACAGCTTATAGATTTCTATCATTTTCAGGACCCCTGCGCAGCCTGTATGTGAGCGCTGTGTGTTAGGATCATGGTGACGGAAGGGAGGGGGACGCACCTTGTTCATCGTAAGGGTCCGGCTCGTCCTCCTTGAGCTTGGCTTGGCTCGGCTCCTCATGATCCTCCTTTGTCACAAATATAACGCGGTCCTTACCTGTGTGGGCAGGGAGGAGAGAATGTGGATTTGTGCCGAGATAAGACCACGGCTGCAGCTTACCTGTAGACGTCCACAAACAATCTGGTCCAAGAGCTTTCCCATTCTTTATATATGCAGGAGCTAGATGAATTGTTGCATCGTAATATGATGGCGGCGGCTTGTGGACCGATCATGGATGATGATACTGTATAGATGTGTATATGTAAACAGTTGATGACATTGATGCCGTGAGCGATACAATAGCATGCTTTTTTTTATAAAACCGGTCACCACTGAAATATTAACGCAGCCACTGCACGCCCAGCCACCCTAATCGTTCGGTGATGTCACCTGGATTGTGCCCTTTCATAAAAATTGCGTAACGTAACCTCGCAGCGCAGCGAGCTTTCTTGAATGTGTACGGGAAATGGGCCCCAGTCTGGCTCCTCCAGTGCTGACTGGTGTCTCACTTTACTCATTGCCCCCTTACCCCTATTGGGCTCATCCAGCTCGGTCCGCTGAGTAACGATAACATAGGGTTGACAGGCGCCTGGGGCGGTGGACGTGGCGTAGAAGAGAGGAACTGCGATTATAGACTTCAGACGACTCTAACATAACAGACTTGGGGTCAATTATAATTACAAGGCAGAACTTTTAGCTGAAATTACAATTATACGGTCGTTGCAATTAATCGTGGCGCAATTACAAGTGTAATTAACCCTACGTATGGTGCAAGTGGTCCCCATCAACTGGAGGATTGCTTTTACAAGTGGGGCAGTGCCCCCCAATATAGTTACGCAGATTAATATCTGCATGTTGTCACATGGCCGTTCTCACATCGACCGAGCAGTCTGGCCGGACACGACTGTGAACCCCTCAACCCAACACGCCGTGAGACGCGGGAAGGCCGGGTAGGTTGAAACCCGTTAACGCCACAGCACCACGTGTGACCTTCCCAGAGCTCTTGGTTCAGCCGGGATCCATCAGCGCCGGGGTGCTCCACCATAGGGAGCCTCCAGAGGGAGCCCAGACCCGAAGACTTCACCCGAGGCGCATCCACGACAGGAAGCGTCCACCTACAGGGACCTCCACCAAAGAGCACTTCCACCCTCAAGAAACCTCCTCTACCCCCCCACCCCAGGCTGCTCCACGCTGGGGACACCTTGAGACATGCTGGCTTCACGATGCTAAATCTCCCCCCCCCCATTCCGTGACATTGGGCGCATGCGCGCTTGCGAAAGCTGCGAGTTTTGTTGTAAAAGAGGTAGCCGGCTTTGGTGTCGTTGCTCTCCCCCCCACCACCACCCTGTACAGCCGCGAGGTTCCCGCTGTGGCTCCCCATTGCTCACCTTCCTGGCGGCAGTAGGACATTGTCGAGTGGCCCGGGCCGGGACTCGAACCCACGTGCGTGCTCAGAGCTCCCACTCGCTGCGACTGCTTGCCCCGCCCACCGCAGCACGTGACGCAAAGAGGACCCCACCCCAACAGGCGAAGGGTGGCCGCGCCGAGTGCCTGACCGGTTCGCTTATCACTCTCGACTGCGGTACATTTATACAGTACTTGAATCGAGTCGAATTGTTTTTGATTGATATGTAACAATTCTTTTCGATAGATAACGAACTAAATTTGGAGAGTTAAACGGATACACAAAAAATGTCAACGAGCGCGCGTGGAAATGGAGTGGTCCATCCGCAGCGAGGGAGTGGGCGGTGGAGTTGTATCGATGCCCTTTAATATGTCGATTAGATTCACAGATCGATTATATTATTTGTGACTACGGTGTCCTTCTAAATAGAGAACTGCTGCAGGGATTTCCATGAATAAATCACGCCCCAACATAAGCGTTGCATTCATCGAACATTAATCGATTAGCTGTGCGCGCGATTAGACGCACGAATCGCGAGCACAAACTACAACTATAATCGCTAATCGATCCATCTGTGCGTCAAGCAAGCGTCCACGTCCGTAATGACATCATCACGTTAACACTACGTGAGCACGCGAATGCCTGTGACGTAATTACGTACCATGGATGTTGTCACGTTACACCCCCCCCCCCCGCGTAACTCTCCGATGTCATTCCGCGGTTGGTCAATGTCCTCGTCCTCTTTGTTAAGACACGCCCCCTTGACTGACGCCTCTACGAATGGCAGTGCGGGAGGCGGTGTCAAGGGGCGGAGCGTGGGGGACGGGACTCGCGGTGCGGGGCGCGGGGTGAGGTGCGGGGAGCGGGGTGAGGTGCGGGGCACGAGGGTGAGGGGCGGGGCGCTGGGGTGAGGGGCGGGGCGCTGGGGTGGGGGCGGGGCCGGGCGCTGAGGGTGGGGGGGCCGGGCGCTGAGGGTGGGGGGGCCGGGCGCTGAGGGTGGGGGGGCCGGGCGCTGAGGGTGGGGGGGCCGGGCGCTGAGGGTGGGGGGGCCGGGCGCTGAGGGTGGGGGGGCCGGGCGCTGAGGGTGGGGGGGCCGGGCGCTGGGGTGGGGGGCCGGGCGCTGGGGTGAGAGGCGGGGCGCTGGGGTGAGGGGCGGAGTCTGCAGAGCGCGGGTTCAGCCACGAGCCTCGCAGAACGCGGAGAGTTGCGCGGCTCGACTCCCCCAACGCAGACCGTAGACCTGGACCCCCGGGGACATAGGTTCCACCCTGGACCCCGGTCTTTATTAGTTCGACTCCTGAACTCGCTGACGCTGGCCTCACAACTCGGCTTGCGGAGGACCGGAGCCGAGACGAGACCCTGAACCTTCTTGGCGGGTTTCGGGTTCGACACGGGACTCTGAATGCTCAGTTTCCTCTCTGAACCCTGAGTGCAAGCGGACCCAAGGAGACCTACGTTCAATTCCCAACCAAGGAGCCTGGTTCTCCATCTCGGCTCCACCGTGAGGGTCCCACAGAGACCCCGCCCGGACCCTCAGCCCGGCTGCCGGCCACGTCCTTGCATTCGTCTCTCCCGTGTCCCAGCTGCCCCACGGCCTCGCTGCTCGGGGCGGGAGACCCCGTGACCCCGGGGGTCCCGGGGGTCACCGCCTTAGCGCCGAGACCCCCCTGTGACCAGGAGACCCAGGGCTATGGTGCTGCAACTGGGTTCCTTCCTCTGTCTCTCCTCGTCCTACAGGTAAGCACGGCGTCTCGTCGTGCCCACGCCAGCCATGACGCCGCAAACTTTGTCCGGAGAGGCCCCGTGGGGCCGCGGGGAGGAGGAGGAGGAGAACGAGCCGAGGCCAGAGAGGCCCCGTGCTGTGTCCCTGTCACTGTCGCTTTGTCTGCCCGGGGGCTTTTGTTTGGGCCTCGCCATCACCCCGCTGCTTTCAACACCGTTGCTGGGTTGTTGTGGTGATGCCTGTTGTTGTTGTGGTGGCGTTGGGAGTTGTGGTGGTCGTTGTAGTATAGTTAGTGATGGTGGCGGTGACGGTAGTGGTGAGTGTGTTGTTGGTTAGTGGTGGTGGTGGTGATGGTTGGTAGAGTTAGTGGTGATGGTCCCCGGTAGTTTGTGGTCGTTATTGTGTTGTGCGGTAATGCCAGCGATGTTGAGAGTAGTGCGTTGGTGGTGATGGAAAGTGGTGGTTGTTATTGTAATGAGGTGGTGGTAGTGGTGTTGGGAATAATGGTAGTGGTGGCTGATATGTTTGGATCATAATGGTGGTTGGTGGTGGATGTGATGGTTGTTCTTAAGGTTATATAATAGTTATTGTGGTGGTCATGAAAGTGTTACAGGCATTTCTGTATTAGTTGTGATGGTGTGGTGATCGTGATTGTGGTGCGGTGATGTCAGTGGTGTTGGGAACACTGGTGGTAGTGATTGGTAACGGTGTTTTCTCCGTATTTTGATGAGGCTATGAGTGTCGTATTGACAGTGTCGGGAGTGGTAGTTGTATTGATGGCGTTAGTGGTTCTTAAATAAAAAAAACGCCCCGCTCATTCCTCATTTCGATCCTAAGTCTACTTTCAATAACTGCCCGAATGTCTACCGCACAATTGCATGTCTGTGTAATACTATAACTTAGCAATGAAAAATCAACATGGTTACCAACCGTGTGCCCAGAGACATGTTTTTTTAAATATAATTTCGCATTACTTTATGACATTCACAAAAAAACACGGGACAAAAGTGGACAAATCGCGCAAAACAGAATGGGGAGGGAGGCAAGGCGCATGCTTGGAATTGCGCCGAGAAACCGTAAAGAGGAACACGTGGATTCGATTTTTGTGTGCGTTTAGTTTGTTCCCCCTTCGCACCTCCGATTGGCACGATTGGCTACGTACGGTGGTGCGACAAAAATCAAAGTTTCAACAAGAAAGCGAACAGACGTCGTATTGGACAGAGAGGACAAGCGAGCCGACTTGGGCAGGACAAGTAACCTGGAAGAGATGATGATGATGGCCGGTGGTCGAGACTCAAGCGACAAATCAGAAATCAGAGGAGGAGGGGGGGATCGTACCCCGATAATAAAAAAAACACGTACACCACGGACAGACAGATCAAATCCGGCTCGCGTTTGCGAAGATCCTTGATAGATTGTTATACATCGCGGGTCCGTGAAGGACGGTGCGACTGCTTGCGGGAAGTCTTTATCCAGCAGTGGATTTATAATGATCGATGTTGATAGTAGTGGTGGTGGTGGGAGTAGTGTGGTGGTGTTAAGGGATTATTGTGGAGGTGACGGTTGTTGTTGTTGCGGTGTGGGGGAATGGTGCCGTAGTGGTTGTCGCAAATATTTGAAACGGTCGTGGGGCTTTCCTAGATCGACTCCACCTTAAATGAGTACACGAGTGTGGTGTGTAAACATTAGTGCTTGGGACACATGTGACTGAGCGTGGTGGTGGCCACCCCCCCCCCCCCTCGTGTGCAGTTCCGGCTTACAAAAGGTGCTCGCATAAAACCCTTTCCCCCTTTACGACCTATTAAAATATATGGGTGGGAGGAGGGATCTTTGTCTTTGTTATGGTTATAGTAGCTGGTAGTTAGTTGGTGGCGGTGGTACTGTTGGTCGTGGTAGCGGCGTTTTTATTGCTGGTGGAAGCGGTGATTATGGTGATGAGTGGATGTACTGCGAGTGTTGGTACGGTGGTGTTGAAGCGGTTAGTTGTGGTAGCGGGTAGTGGTGTTGCCAGCAATGGTGATGCTGGTCGTGGTGCTCGTATTTATGACGGTGGTGGTAGTGTTGGTATTGATGCTGCTGGCGGTGGTGGTAATTGTAGTGACGGTGTTGAAGCTGGTAGTAATGATAGCGGTGGTGGTACTGTTGATAGTAGTGATGGTGCTAGCTGGTAGTCAGGATTGTGATGGTGCTTGTCGGTGGTGCTGATGAAGCTGTTAGTCATGGTAGCTGTGTTGGTAGTCGTGATGGTGCTTATGGTGCCGAAGCTGGTAGTTATGGTAGTCGTGATGATGCTCGTGTCGGTGGTGCCGATGGGGTGGCGTTGTTGATGACGGCCACACCGACTTTGATGTCCGCGATTGCTCACAGACGCTCAGTTCCGCGTAACAAAACCTGACTCGTCCGGAGGACGCTGGCGAAGGTGGTGGGGGGGAGGCACGTGCCGGTGAAGGCAGCGGACGACGAGGCGGCGGAAGCGGCGTCGTCTTCCTCTTCGCGATGGACAAGTGCCGCCACGTGTTCCGGCTGCGTCTCGCCCAGGACCACTCCATCATGAACCCGCAGAAGTGGCTGTGCGCCGAGTGCGGCACCACCGAGTCGGTGTGGGCCTGCCTGGGCTGCTCGCACGTCGCTTGCGGACGCTACATCTCGGAGCACGCCCTCCTGCACTACCAGGTGGCCACAGGCCCGAAATCAACAAAAGTGACAAACTGCAGCTGGGCATTGGAATGATGGATGAGATGTAATGTGATGCAAGGGCACTGGCGGAACCAGTGGCAGGGTGGGGTGGCACGTTCCCCCCCAATGTTCCGATCGAAATCCCTAATTTCTAAATCCCTAATGTCGATCGACCCCCACTGCCACTGTGTAGCATATTATTGTGCCATGTGTACATGATATGATAGGACAAGAGTCTGAGTCCATAATTGGCAATAAGTAACGGCAAAGCAGTTATAAGTCACTCAGAATTGTGCGCAGTTGCGTATACGGTACACGACTTCCCCGAAGGCATTCACCTTCAGCGAGCGCGATGCTGATCACACACGGTTCAAATTCGACCCTCGATCGACGGCTGCGCCATCGCCGGACACGCGTCGAATAAAAAGCGAGGAACAAGTCCTTACTTCCTAACAACGCCTCTATCATTTTTCATTGCTGGAGGAGTTGCCCCCACTACCTGAAAATCTTGGCTCCGCCATTGTGCAAGGGGCTTTGATATATATCCTTGTGTACATATTTGTACTTTAGGTCACACCGTTCCTCTTTGATGGTCACGTTCGTGTTAGGTCAGTTTTGTAATTTGCGCCCTGTTCCATCTGGAGGTAATCTGCTGGAGCCGATTTGCGCTGCACGTAAATTACGCTTGCGATATTTTCAATTCCTCACAATGTGACGGTTGTTTTTGTTCGGATTTTTATTTTGTTTTTGTTCATTTTGGTAACCGAGGTCACTCTTGAAAATAAATTAGGCTACCCTGGTCTCTTGAATCACTCAACTGGTTATGCAAAATAATCTTGACACTTGAGATGCTGGGGCATTTCAAGTACCCAAAAATAAATTAAATTCCTTATTTATTATTCCTTATTTATAAGAACTTAATAAAGAAGGCTGAAAAGTTTGGCTCGAGATAAATACTACCAAAGCAAAAGTCACGTGCAACAAGTTCGGGGGGGGGGGACGGACACAACACAGAGACCTTTCTTATTTTCGTGTTACACACCTGCCTCCCCACCCCCCTGCCCCCTTTGCAGAACACAGGCCACCCGCTGGCGCTGGAGGTGAACGAGCTGCACGTGTACTGCTACGCGTGCGATGACTACGTCCTTAACGACAACGCGACAGGCGACCTGCGCCTACTGCGGTCCACGCTGAGCGCCGTCACGAGCCAGCGCTACCAGCTGACCACGCGCAGCGGCCGCACGCTCCGCTCGGGCGCCGGCGACGATACACGGTGCGCACAGTCATCTGCCTCCTATCGTTGTTTTAAAAACATAACACCATCTCTGCTCTCCTACAATATTCCTTTTGAAGACCCTATAATTTTTACTGCGACCTTGTCTTCCATTGACAACAAAACGGTTCCCAACGTGGTTAACAAACTGACCCCTATTAAAAATGGATTTCCTCGTGTCGGTTCTCTCGTGCCCCCTTCTCCATAATTTTGCCAATCGAAAACCACTGGACGCAAATGGGGAAAAAAATATTTTGAACTACTAACCTGAAGTGAATCTTCAAATATGGGTGTAGGCTGGCCCTGGCTAACCTACATCCGGGTTATTTTTTCTAAGTTGGTTAACGATGCTGCTGGTGACCACCCCAAAGCCCCATACGAAGCCGTTAACGCCCTTGCACAGCAAACGTCACTCACCGTTCATTCCTACTGTTGCGCTCCGAAATATTCGGCTCCCGTTTGATGTTCAAAAACCTCGAGCATCCATATTAGTTCTTCCTGCATCCAAAAATTGTCCTGAACCAAATTCCATCCCACACTACATAGATCTTCCATCACCGGTTCATTTAAAGTAGTCTGCCATTATTCACAATTTAAAGAAAAAAAAAAACCCCTCTGTATTCGATCCCCTACCAACAACCTTTACTGTGCCCCGCTTATCTACCTTTGTTCCATACATTAATCAAATAATTAATCATTCCATTTCTTCTAGAATTGTTCCGCGTGATTTAAAAAAAAATTATGTCGCTCCCTTTCTTAAAAACACCTCTTGATCAAATCGATAAAACTAACTACCGTCCTAACTCTAACCGCTCATGAATGTCCAAGATTCTTGAATGTCATGTTCAATTATTTCACCAGTCATAATTTTCAACGGGAATTTTAGGATCCATTCATCTGGTTTTTGGGCACTTTGTTCAACAGAAACTGCACTTTCGTTTGTCCCAATGGATATTCCACTCTGGATCTCTCTCACTTGGTGCTTCTTAAAGAATCTGCCGCCGTTGACACTATCGCTCGCTCCATTATCCTAAAAAAAGTCCCACACAGCCTTGTGGGCATCTGATGAACTTATTGCGTGGTTCCCTTCCTTTCCATCTACTCATAACATTTCTGTCCAAGGAATGTTTTTACCTCGCAATCCTCTACACTATGATGTTCCATCCTTGGCTCTTTGCCCTAAACCTTCTTCCTGTAGGAAAAACTAATTTCTAGGTTTGGTATTGGTTATCACGTCTATGACGACGACGCGGCCGCTCTGTTGTGATTGACCACGCCCACCCCACATCCCTTTTCTTACCCTTCTTCCCATATCACTTCCATCTTCAGTGGATTGCATTAAATTTTCTGCAACTTTAACAGAAAAATGCAATCCTTATTGTTGGTAAGAGATCTACTCGTACCGAATGCCAGTCACCTTTTGTTAACTTAACCTTGCCGTACGTCTACGTCAGTTTCCCCCCCCCCCACCCCCCCGATTTTGTTCCGATGATGTACGTGTACATCAAAACCGGACGAAAATCGAAAATGAAATGTTATCGGTACGGAGGCTCCCACAAGGCCATGCGGGAGGGCATGTGGCACCAGCTATCGTAGTGCAGTCGCGTCACTACAGTTCTCTGCAGCAAGTACAAGGTCTTTAAAAACAACGGCGTGATGCTTCTAAATAAAATTAATGCCGAGCTGCTTGCGAGTTCCGAGATTCAGGTGAACGGGACGCCCCCTGCAACTTGCATAAGTCTCAAAATAGGAAAGGGTTCATACATGCTTGGATATTGTCAAACGTGTGTAATCTTGGGGTCCTCCTGGACTGAGAGCCATCTCGGACTCAATATTTCACGTTTCTCAAACAGCTTTTCGTCTATGCAATATTCCCCAGATCTGCAATCCCCAACTCAAGAAGCTACCGAAACCTGAACCTCCTATTTGGCCTCCCTGACACACTCAAAGTATTCAACGCTGCTGCAGACGCACTTCGGCACCCATAAATACCACCACATGACACCCATTTAATTTTCCCTTCACCGTCTTCCAATCAGGTGTCAAATTAATTTCAAAATTGCACTCCATCTTAGAATATTGCATGACCTTGCTTTGGTTCATTGGTCCTCTCATTTCTCTGCATACCCCAGCAGGACTCCTTCGCTCACCTAGTCTTTGAGTTGCTAGGTCACGCCAAAAGTAAAATGCGCGACTTTTGACCGGCATGCTTTCCGATTTACAGCTCCATCTGTGTGCAAGTGACGCATTTGAAATGGTAGATTCACCCAGGGTTTCCCCAGAACGCGAATCCCACGACGATCTTTAACTGACCAAGTCGGAGGCAATTTTGAGGGATTGGCCATTTTGCTTGTTGCTCCTGCCAGGTCACATCCATTCAGTGAGATGTGGGCAACACCTAAATGGTGCCTCACATCCAAGGAATACAATCAAAGTCATATGCCCAATTCAGAACCTCACCTCAAGCCAATGGCCCTACGCAATCCCAACAGTCCACAAAGCCTCTGCATGGCTGCACAGCCCATCAGCTTCACGGAGCTTTAACTGGGAGGCCAGCACTGTGTTGCCGCAGGACCCCCAACCAGGCCACCTCACTCCTCCGCCTGAATATCTCCCGAGCGCGAGCGCCACCGCTGGTCATTGCATCTCCTGGCCACCTTCGCTGAACCTCCTGCCGTTGTAACCTCTCTGTCTCCGTCCCGTCCGTGACTTCCTCGCCTTCTGCTCTCCAGCCTTGTACTCCCACCAGGGTCCCAGCCTCGAAGGCAGATTCTTGCCAAAGCGCCTGTTGTCCCCGGAGCCTGTTGGTTTGATGTTTCACTCCTCAGCACTTGAACGCCTCCGTGGTCCAACACCTTTCTGTTCTGGCTAAGCCCTTTATCTTACCTGAGCCAGCCAGCCACCACCCCCCCCTCCTGCTTTCTTGCCATTGGCCTATCGGGCCTCATTATAATTAGGGGTGAGTCACCTCTTTCCACCTGCGGCCTTCAATTACCCCGGCCTGGCTTAATCAGCCCATTAATTTCCCCAGATTTAAATTATCCTGATTCAGACCAGCTGCTGTCTTTGTTGGGCATCAAAAACTGGTTGGTTCTTCAAAGTAGTCGATCAAGACAACCCCCCAGTATCAGAGAGCTCCCTCCCCCCCCACCAACACGCAAATCAAATGTGCTGCACTTTACTGTTATCGCAACTGGGGAAAAGGTTAACTTGTACCCGTGAAAGCGTGGAATGCACTCCCACTGTACGTCATCAAATCAGCTCCCTGTCGTTATTGAAATCGCACTTAATAAACACGTCCTTGTTTACTGATGCTTATAGCCGAAGTGTGCTCGGGTTTCGTGATGTTCAGTGTTTTGGGGGGGTTACTATTTGCATGCATAACGCTGTGTGAAATCCAATTGTTGTTATCATTGTTCTCTGGACTCTCTTGGCTGTCGGGAGCTTGAGTTGCCAAATGATGTTGCCCTACGTGCTCCATGCTCTGGCCGCCTCCGTGCTCCTAGTCGGGGTTTGTTTTTGTTCATCCTTGGTGTTCTTGTACATTTTTTTACGACGTAAATTTTTTTTTTTTACTTTAAGATGTTCGTGTCGTGGGTTCAAAATGTTAAGCGTTTCAAGATGCAATTTGCATGCATGGCTCGATATAAAACGAATTATTATAATCTGGAGAAAGACAATCCACAAATTATCTTCTAACTTTCTATGCATCTTTCCCACCAAACTCGATCCCGCTCATTAAGTCGATAAACGCTCTCGTCTGTAAGATGCGGAGCCCTCACTGTCACAATGTTCAATCAGCTGTTGAGAAGAAAGTAAGGGGGAGAGTCGTTAAATACCAGTGTGGTATCTATAAATGTATCACCCTGTAAAATGTGTAGTAATAATAACAAAACTACACGTTGAATGGATACATTCATACTGGTACATTCTGTTGTGAGTAGCAGATGGCGGTGCAGCAAAATCCATTGTTGTATTGTATTTCTGCGCTCCCAGCCTTCACCAACCCGGCACTTACTGACTTGGCGAAGCATGGGCCAAATAACCCCCCGCGACCCGCATGGCACCGAGGCCCTCTCATGATCCAGCAGTGGATTGACAAAGGGCTGCACATTTACTCGACGTTTGCACATACACACTAAACTACACCACGATGCATGTATACACGTCGTGTACTTACATAGACATGCGTATTGCATGGCAACACGCATAAGCATGCACAGCAGATGGCTTCTGCCTTGTGCCCCTAGCCACAGTTCCACCATTGCTGCTGCCAAGACTGCCTCGTTACCCCCCCCCCCCATGTTACTGCCAGTAGCCTAGTAGCATAGCAGCATGGTTTGACATAGGAATGAATGAAATGCCCCCCTACCCCACTGGCCCGTGGGCCCCGGTGCAGTTCCACTGCCTGTACACTCCCTCGATGGCTACACCGCCGATGTGCGGTGCATCTGAGCAGACACGTTGGTGCCTTTGAGCGAGTTTCCCGGAATGTGCTGGATCTCCTCTGGTCTTGGAAGCCCATCAGCCTTTAACGACCATTGGCATATTATTTGGTGACGCATTTGCGCACAAGCACAATGAACACGTAAAATGTGCTGTGAAGAACGGCCTTTGCCCAAAACTTCGCCTATTATCTTTTTTTTACTCTTCAGGCTGCAATTTTTGAGGTTTTTTTGTAATGCGCGTGGTCACCCATCCAAGCACTAGGCAGGCTTTAAAGCCACTTTGCTTAGCATTTGTGCCCTCAGCTTTGCCGTGTCACTATTCCCAACGTCTCCGCGTTTCCACCCGCGGCATTGACACGGTGCGGCTGCCTCTTCATACCCCGGCAGGCCCAGCGAGCGGCGGGTGGAAGCCCAGCTGCGCGCCGAGGACCGCATGTTTACCGCGCTGTGGCACCGGCGCCTGGCGTTGGCGCGCAAGGTGTTCACGGCGTGGGCGGGACTCACGTCAAGTGGGCGGCGCCGCGCGCTGCACGAGTTGGACACCGCCCAGGAGCAGCGGCGCCGCGAGGACGCGCAGAGGGAGCGGCAGGAGCGCAGGCGGCGACACAGAGGTGCGCGGAGTTTTTGGCCGGTGACCGAATTTCTTAAGGAACTGCTTTTTGTGTTTGGTTTGTTGTCCTTCCACCACACCTCCGATTAGCATGGTTGGCTATGTACAGTGTGAAAGAAGTTCAACATACATACGCCCGCGATGAGCCAGATTTTTCGTCAGATCTCAGTGGCGGCATTGAGCGTGCATGAGGCTTGGATGTGCGACGTGGCGGGTTCACCCCGGATTCATCCCCGGGGTTCTTCACAGATTCGCTTCACGTGTGAAGCCAAACACTGAGTGGTGGAACTTACACGATGTAGCAGGACCACCCGCGAAAAAGAAGTCTTGAGATTCGGCGATAATTTTCTGGGTGAATAAATGGCATTATTATTATTACAATTCAGGCGATCGGTGATGCAGTGGCTCGGCCACTGAGTTGTAAACCCAGTGACTAGAGTTTTATTCCTGGTGACGGCCAACATCAGTGGAGTGTGATAGCTGAACCGGTCATGCACCGCCCTGCCACCACCTTCATGAACCCGAATTGACAAGATTGGTGAAGCATGGTCAAATTACTTACTAGACATCTGTGAAAAAGAACTTCATAGCTCATCAGATTCCTCCAGTCTAAATATATATTCTGACTCACGTGGCCAATGTAGTGTGGGGAGGCACTGATTCAGCATGGTTTGACGCAAAGGGGCTGTATATGTGTAGTCTATGAAACGTTTGGTTCGATTGAGGGAAACAGTTCTGGTTTATTTTCTCATAAATAGAAAGAGCACCATCATCAGCTGTGATCAATCCATTGCTGGATGAAGTCCTCGCCAAGTCACCATCATCTGTCCTAGTCTTGCAATGCAACAGTCCAATGAACTGCTGCACGTATGAATAATAAAACCGTTTACCCATGCTACACCGTGAGAAGGGGAGTAGAGTCAGAGATGCAATGTATGCAAAATGAAAAAGCAACGGGAGAGGGGAAGAGAATGAACGGGAAATGTGAGGGTATGGATGGAAGAGGAACGGGAGCAATGGGTCAGGCGAGATGAGGACGGGAGGAGGAAGAGGCTGCATCAGGACCTCGATGCTGATGCACGGGGGAGCAGCGTCTATTTTCACAGCGAGCGCAGGAGGAGGGGAGGAATTCGCAGTGGAGGTGGCCACACACAGAGAAGTCACGTGATTTATGGGAAATTTAAACTGATTTAGACTTTTAGATGGAAAAGCCTTCAGACCATATCGTATAATCCGGGTGAGAGTGCCCATGATTCGTGATTATTTCTACTTTGGCGGATGTGAGTGGTAATTTTGTTTCTAACAAGGCCCCCCCGTACCCCCCCCACCCAACTTCCCTGCTGCCACTCTCCACCACCTCCACCTCGCTCCCTCCCCTGTGTAGAGGAGATGTCCAGCCGGCCCCCGAGGAAGAGCCCTCGTCTGAGCAATGTTGCGCAGCACCGCAACCACCGAGTGCCCACGCCAACGCCAGCCGCCGTGCCTCCCCGTACCGGGGAGGTGGTCGCCGTGGCGATGCTACTGACCCCTCTCCCGCCCTCGCCTGCCCCGGCGCTGCCTCCAGACGCACCGTCCCCTCCACTGAAGCGCAGGCCGACGGTCACCCCCGGCGTGACGGGGCTACGCAACCTGGGCAACACGTGCTACATGAACTCCATCCTGCAGGTGCGGGTGGTACCGGCGGCGCCGGGAACAACACAGCAGCGTTCCTTGCTGTGGTGGTGCTGTGTCAACACGGCATGTGGTTGGTTGCCTATTGGAGTGGATAGCCCGCGTGAGGGGGTTGCCCGCACGAGCGGGTTTGCCAATGGTAGCAGTCTCTGCCACTCAGCCATTGCCTGTGCGCCTGACATCGCTGTGTGCTACTGTGCAGGTGCTGAGCCACCTGCAGGCGTTCCGCCAATGCTTTCTGCTGCTCGACCTTAGCGGCGCCGGCTCCGACCCCGGTGCGACCTCGTGGCCTCTCGAGGGCGACGATCCGACGGGCCCCCGGCGGCAGCGTCGCCATGTGGGGCTGGCCCGCCAGCTCTCGGAGCAGTGCTACCGCGAGGCCACGGGGCTGGGGCAGGCGGCGGCCACCATCACGGACGGCGCCAGACGTGAGAGCCGCAGGGCCGGGCTGAGCGGCGGGGGTGGCGCAGAGAGAGTGACGCACGGGCAGCAGCACCAGGTGCACGGGCAGCAGCAGCAGCGAGAGGAGGAAGAGGAGGAGGAGCGCGTGTCTCTCTGTCACGAGTTGCACACGCTCTTCAGGGTCATGTGGTCCGGGAAGTGGGCGCTTGTGTCGCCCTACGCGATGCTGCACTCGGTGTGGCGCCTCGTGCCGTCGTTCAAGGTGAGCGTGCGGGGCACCGGGCCGACGACGCGCGGCCGGAGTCGTACGCGGTGTCGCTGGCACTCGGCGGATGGGGGGTTCACGCGAATGTTTGTGACGGTGGCGATGATGCGATGTACAAGTATTTTAACGACGCGACAATTATTGTTTCAGCTCACTCACCAGCGGGCTGAAGAGCGATTCTCACGACCAGATTTAGCGATAGACGCTGCATTTCGTTTTGGAAATGTGCCAAGTGTCATCGGATAAACTTTTGTCTAGATCTCAAATGGGAATCTAGAACCATGTCACCTGACCAGCCTTCATTTAAATTATGGTGCGTTAACTGTGAATTGGCGGTAATAACGACGATGGGACGACGGCGACCGCAGTTAACGTCGCGTGGACCGCGCGCGCCGGCAGGGTTATGCGCAGCAGGACGCTCAGGAGTTCCTGTGCGAGCTGCTTGACAAGGTGCTTCAGGAGTTGGAGGCGGCGGCAGCAGCTGCGGCATCATCCTCTTCCGCAGGGCCCGGCTCCCCAGTGTCGCCGGTGTCACCAGTGTTGCCATGGCCTCCGGGGCCGCCCCACGCCAATGCGGCGCCTGTGTCCCCATTCCCGCGCCTCCCGCCGTCACCGCTCTCCCAGCGGAAGCTCGTCCGCCAGGTGCTACGGGTGGTGGCGAGCATCTTCCAGGGGGAGCTGCTGAGCCAGGTAGGGCCTTCCAGCCACCGAGCGATGCAGTCAGACGCTCACGCAACTGACCACCCACTCAGCCACCCTTTCACCACTCACTCACCCACCCAGTAAGCCAGACAACCAGGCACCCATCCATTCGCCTACCCACCAACCGATTCACCCAACAGGCTACTGATCCATCCAAACAGCCACAAAGATACCCACTCACCCAGCCACAATATTAATTCACATCGCCGTTTTATTTTCTCCTGGATGTAGGTGACGTGCCTGTCATGCGCGCATACGTCACGGAGGAATGAGCTATTCTGGGACCTCTCGCTCGACTTCCCCGAGCGCTACCACGGCCTGGCCAAGGCAGTGGAGAGCGATGGTGGTGGCAGCAGTGGCTGCGGCGCTGGTGGTAGCGGCGCTGGTGGCAGCACGAACGGCGGCTGCACCCTCACCGAGATGCTCGCCAAGTTCACCGAGACAGAGGCACTGGATGGCGGGAAAGTGTACTCCTGCGACACGTGCAACGGTGAGAGCTCGTGCCCACACCTCCACCACCACCACTCACCACGTGACACCACACCACGGCATATTACACCATGCCACACAACGCCATGTCACGCCACACTATGCCGCAAGACGCCATCCACCGCCACAACACACCACGCAATTCCATGCTACGCCATGCCACACCATGCCACGCTGGATCACGCCACATCATGCCATGCAACACCATCATCCCGTGCCACATCACGCCACACACGTTTTATGTGCGCAGGAGTCATGTGCATATCGCTCTAGTTAAGCTACATGCCGGATCTTCCGCGAATTAAAAAAAATATACAAGTTGCATACAGCGTGTAAATTTACTACGTAGCGATACAAGCGGCGACTTAGCTGCTCGGCTTGAGTTCGCATGGCATAAAGAACAGACACGCACGTGGTGAACGGGTGGTCGCGTGCTCGTCATGGTTGTGGCGCGACCCGGTGCCACTCTCACCGGCGATGCCATGCTGCCATTCTGTGCCTGGCAGGCCGGCGACGTCGCTCCTCCTCCAAGCAGCCGGTACTCACCGAGGCGCAAAAGCAACTGTTGGTGCACAGACTGCCTCGCGTGCTACGCCTACATCTCAAGCGCTTCAGGTGAACTGCTGCGCCACGTGTGTCGCTTTGTGTCTCTCCTGTGTTTCTGTGTCCTCGTGTGTCCCTGTTTGTCCCCGTGAGTCTGTAAGTACCTCTCCTGTGTTTCTCCTGCGTGTCTCTGTCCCGATGTATCTCTATGTGTCCCCTTGTGCCCTTATGTGTGACTGCTATGTATCTCTGTAAGTCCCGATGTGTGCCTGTGTGTTCCTGTAAATCCCCAAATGGATTATTGCATTGTGAGACCATGAACGATAGTGACTGCTAGAAAATACCTTAATTCAGCAATCGATAGATCATCACTGAAGAAGATGATGATAATGATGATGAGTGTGTGGGCGCAGCATTGTGTGAATTGACCTGTGAGTGACATGGTGTGGCCGTGTGCAGGTGGTCGGGCCGAAATCACCGCGAGAAGATTGGCGTGCACGTGGCGTTTGAGCAGCGACTCTGCATGACGCCGTACTGCAGCCGTGACGGTGGTAGCGGCAGCGGCAGCGGTGGTGCTGACCCCAGCACATACGACCTCTCAGCCGTGGTGATGCATCACGGGCGAGGCTTCGGCTCAGGACACTACACGGCGTACTGCTACAACGCTGAGGGCGGTACGCTCATGACTCTGACCATGACTCTGATGCACATGATATATACGTTGTGTGTGCGTTGTGTGTTTGTGATGTGCGTGTAGTGTAATTAGGGGCACTGCGGTGCTGAGATGTTATCTCTCTTGCCTGGTACCCTGAAGTTAGTGGGTTTAATCCCGAAACCTGACAATGCCTGTATATTTGGAGTTGATGCGGATTTTTCTCCAGGTTCCTCCGGTTTTGCTCTCCATCGTTAGAAACACGTGTTTTGATTATTTGGCTGCAACTATAAATTCCTCTAAATGATAAGCCCCTTCTAAAAACTATGTGGAGCCAGGTCGCCTCTGATTAAAAAAAAAAATGCATAGTTCAGTGGGCTTTCCCTGGTAAATAATTACTTTACATTGTGTGTGTATCTGACATACGTATATATGCTACGTAACGGCTTCGTATCTCGCGTGCATGGTGTACGTGCTATGCGTGCGCGCTTTGTGTTTGATATTTTTGCGTGTGTGTTATGATCCGGTGAGTGTGCTATGTATTCAGTCAGACTTAATATTGGCCTCCTACCCCATCATGTGCTGTGCCGGCCTTCATAGGTGCTCGCTTGCCCCAACAGTCTGTTTAGGCTGTATGAGTGACAATTATTTGTCTTTGTATGTATCTGGTGTTGCTTTGTTTGGCATCCATGCTGTATGTGCCATGCATCTAGCATGTATTGTACGTGTGTTCTGTATGTACTGTGTGTGCGGTCTGCACGGTGGGTCCTGTGAGCCTGGCACGAATGTTCTGCGTGCGCGTCTGGCGAGCGCAGGCTTCTGGGTGCACTGCAACGACTCGCGGCTGGACGTGGTGTCCGTGGCGGAGGTTTGCCGTGCCCAGGCCTACATCCTCTTCTACACGCGGTGCCGTTCCGGCGGCCCCCAGGCTCCCGCGTGCCCCTCCAACGTCCCCGCCATGTCCCCCCATGCCCCCCCCAACCGCGCCACCAACACCGCCGGGAGCAGGCGCAGGCGGAGGCTCGACCTCTCATGAGCTCTTGTGCTCGCAGGCCAAGACTCTCGTGCACCTGTGCGCGCACGACCAAGAAAAGCCTTATACGGTGACCTCGACGTCAGCTGGAAATGTCTGTGACACTAAAAGCCCTCTTGCTCCAAAACCAGCCTTGCCCTGGTCTCTTCTGTGCCTGCTGTCTGTTTTACATCCGGTTCACAGCTCGTTGTTTGCAATGATACTTTTTTTTTATTCAGCCGCCACACCTGCAGGACCTCACGTTGTGCCGTGGAATGGCTCCCCGGAAGATGATGTATCTTTGATGGGCCCCTCTAACCCTAAACTGGAATTCACACAATTATGCACTGTGCCGACTGATTTTAATGGGATTAATATGCCCTTAGGGCCAGAATATGCAAAATCAAGGCAATAAAATAAAATTTGTATATTACGAATTATTAGTGAATTCGTCGATGGCTGACTATGAACTCGCCGCATATGAGATTCATTCACCGGCAGCTGCCCGCATTCGTACTAATGATCCCGACAGTGCCTGCTCTGTGCTTTGACGAGGCCGGTATGGAGACGTCTTGAGTCTCTTCGCCACAAGTCATTATCATCAACGCTTCCCATCCCGCGCCGCCTGGGGCCCCCATGTGGCCGTGACGTAATTTCACTGGCCACGCTTCACGAGATCCGTGAGGAGAGGGCCACGCCTCCTAAGCCAACGGCCGAGTCGCGCTGACGTCGGTGCATTTTGGTCCACGGCTGCAAAGCGCGGTCATCCTAGCCTTGCTGCGCTGTGTTTTTTGCTCCAGAACTCGAGCCGCCCCACCGCGTGGGAATCTGGTCCAAGGTTATATATTAAAATAAAACGCGAGCCTCGTGTTTCAGTTGTGCTTCGTTGTCGCTGTGTTGCCGCTTGTTTTTGTTTAAACGAACTGCACGATGTTTATTTGCCGTTTATAGATTTTGTGAGAGAGAGAGCGATTTAGTTTTTTTACAAAGTGCGAACGCACAATACTATTTTGTGTAATTTTTTTGAAAGATGGAAGTGCCCTGCTGTGTAAATACGTATGGCCCACGGTTACCAGCAGTCGTGTGCTCGATTGCCTCAGCTCAGGACCCCGCGCTCGTGCTCTTGTTTTTGGCAGGAGAAAAAGCTTTAACGCGTGAGCATTTATTACCCTGTTTTAGTATTAAACATGAGAGAGCGGAGGCTGTCGCGTCTGTCTCGTGGGCCGTCTTGTGGAAATGAGACCGCGAGGTGCCACGTTTTTTCAGTTGAGCTTAAGGTCGCGCTCATTACTTATTACACACAGTGCTGCCACAAATGAACCACGATACCTTGGTGATCTAGTCAAGGAGCATAAACCGTCACGCAAACCCATCCTCGCAGTGGCTTTTGGGTAACCATAGAACAAATACGGTCAATACATTGCGGCCGTCTGGATGGCTCTTCCGATATTAGGAAGCCACTGGAGCTATGCACTTTTAAATCTCGGTTGAAAACGAATTTCTTTAGAACTGATTTATGTTTAGTTTGTTGTCCTACCCCTGCACCTCCGATTAGCATGGTTGGCTATGTACGGTGCGAAAGAGGTTCAACACGCATACAATCCGGACATCGTTTGTCCTCCTAAGCACAAAGTCAGATTTTTTTCCCGGATTGGTAAAAAAAATAGTTTTCTATTGATAATTCGTGGAATCTCATTTCTTATTTAAGGAAAAGATTTACATTCATCCAGTGCGTAAATACTGAAACACACTCTCAAAGCACTTTGCAATGGAATGCAAAATTCAACAATACACTGAATGGAAAAAACTAAATGTTTGAAGCAGAATTGAATAAAAGTACGAATTTTAGACAATGTCCGGCAACGGCATGCCAGCCGTCACGAGTCCAGAGAGCCCCATGATGTTGAAGGAAAAGCGCCAGTAGCTAGCCGACTCCGCGGTCCACCGCATTGTTAACCTGACCTCTCTGGCTTCTCAGAGGCAGACCCAAGAGAGAGAGAGAGACAGTTGCCGCCTTTCAGGTCTCAGGAGCTTGGAAAGATCCCAGGAAAATAGTGGTTTTTTTTCCACCCAGACTCCATTAAAGAGTTTCCACACCATCAAAATATCCCAACAGAAAGCCCAGGAAAGTGGTGGAGAAGGGAAGTTCAGGGGAGAACCATGAGATGGAGAGAATCTAGCCTGATGAGAGACGGGAGAACATTTACTAAATAATTTCATTACAGCACCAATTTCCTCCCCACACGATGTCGAACACTCATGCAACTGGCCAAAGCAGCAGGAGCTCTCCTGATAAAAATCTTGAGACTCGGCGAGGCTATCCAGAATAAACGGTATCAGCATGAATCCTATACTTAAATTCAAACTTGAAATTGGTGGGGAAGTTAACTTTGAAGCCTAAAACTATTGACTCATGCGTTAGCATTGACGGACATGGCGACAGCTTGGGGAGGAGGCTTTCATCCAGCGGTGGATTGATCATGGCTGATGAAGTGAGTGCTGTGTGGTCTGGGTTGAATGTCGGGGACGTTGGGTTTGGTTTTGTTTTCTCTCGAATTCCCCACGAAGGCCTCCCCGCTGCAGCTGTGCAGCTCGTTCACTCAAGGGCCCTTCCCGTTGCCACAGAGGCCTGAGTGGCACGGACAGCTTCTGTTGCCACGGCAACGATGGCCTGATGATTCTGGGGTCAACTCGATCATTATTGGCGTGGTCAAGTCCTTGCACACATAATTACTACTGGTCTTTGGTATATCTCACACACACGTTTTGGTGATGATGCATTGAGGGTGGTCTTTCCCCCGCAACTCCGATTAGCACGGTTGGCTACGTACGGTGCGAAATAATTTAAATACAAATCACAACACCTCAATTACACTGCCTCTGCTGTGAAGAAGCCCCATTGTCTGAAACGTGGCATTTTATATATTTTGTTACCATCTAGGGCAGTGCTATTGAGGAATGTGCTGCGCTTGAGTTACCACAGCCTGCCAAGAAATTAATTCATCCGTGTAAACACGTCAACATCAATTTACCAGGCGATTTAGGACGGGTTTATTTTTGCAAGGCAACACACCTCGGACCACGACACACGGGCGAATATAAACATGAGACATCAATGTTGAATTGAAGCTTTCGTGACTGCACGAATTCACACTATTTGGTTCTTTCGGTAAAGTCACGTAGATAGAGAAAAATAAATAATAGATCACGTCGTTTCAACCGCAACAACAAGCAACCGTCTTCAGGCGAGAAATAGCAACAAGCCGCTGTGATGGGGCTTTATATAGAGCCGAGTGGGGGAGGGGGGAGGAAGGGGTGGGGGAGGGGAGGAGGGGGGAGGAGGGAAGGGAGGGGTGGGGGAGGGGTGGGGGAGGGGAGGGGGGAGGGAGGGGTGGGGGAGGGGAGGGTTGGGGGAGGGGGAGGAGGGAGGGAGGGGAGGGGTGTGGGAAGGGAGGGGTGGGGGAGGGGGGGAGGGAGGGGGAAGGGAGGGGTGGGGGAGGGGGGGAGGGAAGGGAGGGTTGGGGGAGGGGGAGGGGTGGGGGAAGGGAGGGTGGAGGGAGGGAGGGGAGGGAGGGGGGAGGGGCTGCCGTAACGGGCGAGGGGGGTGGGGATGAAATTCAAAGAGTAGGGAACAAGGTGATGTAAAAAAAAACTCATTAAAAATATATATTTTTTAAAACAACGATTTTATTCACAACTTCGTTTAACTCACGGTCGAAGTACGTCAATGATGCGGCGCCTGCTCCCACATCAACGCTTACTTTAATTAACTGATTACTTTACGAATGAATCTTCAATGTACAACTTTTGTTTGTGTGGAAGTGAGGGTGCCCGTAACTCGTTGACACGGAGCAGGCGTGGCGCCTGAGACACGTGGCGCCTGCCTCTAGGGCGAGGCGATTCCAGAGTTTAGTAGGGACCGCGGAGTTTTTGACATACACCAAAATATATATAAATAATAAGGCGTCCATACTAAATGTAAATTGATTTAAAGTAGCGAATTAATTGATTAATTGATGCCGATTTTGATAGAGGCGTGCATTGTCACCGGATCTGGGTACGTGTGCAAAATGCGGAATTGATTGGACAACGGGAAGTAGACGAAATTTTGATTGCAAGATTTGACCACGACACAGGAATCAAGTTAAGTAAAACCATTGCAAAAAAAGATAAAACTTAGCAAAATGTAGAAATGTAATGCAACTCAGAGAGTCGGCTTGTTGCGATCGAAACGCCGTTATCTATTATATTCTTAGCTCTTTCGGTAAAGTCACGTTGAAGGGAAACAATAAAATAATGAAATATATATAAAACAATAAAAATTCTCACGACGTTTCGACCATAACACAAACGGTCATCATCAGGTGTGAAACCCCAACGGCAAGAAACATTTTAAAGAAGTGGCGGTTTGCATTTATTTATTTTTAAACGGTGCATTTATCTATTTAAAAAACGTCAGCACCACGGATAGCGATTTGGCAGTTTATTTAGAAGGACTAGTCCATCTATTTTGATTTAAAGCTTTCGTGACTGCAGTAATTCATATTCTTAGTTTTTTTTATTATTTAGTTGTTTCCCTTCAACGTGACTTTACCGAAAAAACTAAGAATAGTCCATCTATGTTCTCAAAAGAGGAGGTGGGAGACGAAAAATTAATGTATGCTGTCTGAAAGCCACCGTAAGCGTGAACAATCAATTTTGTCGTTATCTATTATTTATTTTTTCTATCTACGTGACTTTACCGAAAGAACCAAAGAGTATGTGACATCATGGAGTTGGTTCTTAAGCCCCTTCTGTGCGGACCTTATTGTAATATTCTCGTGTGCATGGATTTTCTCCGGATACATTAATACCCTCGGTTTACGTCTGGGGGGTGGGGGGGGGGGATGCGTTCCTGAAAGTTGCGGCGTCGAATATCAAAACGCCGTAAATTTCCCACGAGAGCTAAATCAGAAGACAACGGAGTGTACGCAACGTTACACGCAACGTTACATTCAATTACAAACAAACAAAAATACTGTGCTCAACACTAGTGTAGAGCAGTAAACCTTGACACACACTATACGGGGTACAATAAGATACTGTACACAAGTAATGCATTGTTCTCCAGTACGGTACATTTCTTTACGCTGGACGAAAACTACAGGTAGTCCCCGACTTACGATGGAGATGCGTTACGACGACCCCATCGTAAGTCGAGAATATCGTAAGTCGAAAATGGCCTAGCCTACGCAGGAGTCTTAAAGAATGGTGATAATTTAGCAAAACAGGGCAATTTACAGTACCGTACTGTATAAACTATATACTGTGTATTTATTAATTACAATACTGTATTACACAGTAAATTCTAAAGTTAAAAAAACAAGGTAAATTCTTAGCCTACCTATATGAACTGCAATTTCATAGAAAGTTTTTTCTATCTGCTATATATTAAAAAAAAAAACTTTTAACATGTATTGAACGTATGTAATCGTATCGTGGTAACCCTAAAATGAAATCGCTAAAGCTATGTATCATACATGCATTGAACGTATCGTAACGTATCATATTCTAGTGTGCTCACCAAGATTCTGTCCGTCGTCTGCATACTTGAACGATGTTGGGTTGTTGATGGCTACATTAACTTAGTTGTCGGAAGAGGAGGATGGCGATGATCAAGTTACAGTATCGTACCTCGTACGCTGCTGCGTTTGCCTGCCGCGCGAAATAAAACATTTTTTTGTACAATTTTGTCATCGCTATCGCCATCGTAAGATCGAAATATCGTAAGTCGGGGACCATCGTAAGTCGGGGACTTCATGTATTTTGTGTACAGGGTAGGAGGTGGAGGCGAAGGCTGAGAGGCGATGGTTACATGAAAGGACGGGCGGGTTGAGGTGACCCACACCAAGATAGTGGCGTTAATAAAGTGACGACGTATTTGCGAAACGACGTGGAAGGTCGACACCTAAATCGGGGTATTACTGTGCAGTACCCCAGTTTCACTTTCACGCAAACTAAGGCAGCTATCCTGAAAGCATAATTGACCAGATGGCGGTCCTTGCCTGGAAGATTGGCTGCTCACCATTGTTGATGAGACACTTAATGTAAAAACTAGCCCAGATGTCTTCATGTCTTGAATCAATGCTGCTGAAATTATAGACTGATGAGACACTTCATGTAACAACTAGCCCAGATGTCTTCATGTCTTGAATCAATGCTGCTGAAATTATGGACTGACAGAAGGCCGTGCGTGCAGCTAATGGGGTTGTGTAAGGAACAATTGTATATTTATTT